ATGTAAAACGCACCCCAGATAGTTGGCTTCTCATTAGGGCTCTTACTGCTTATTGATCCGAACAGCAAGCGAAGCCACAAAACTAAGCGTAACCAGCCTGAATATGTGCAGGCCGAGATCTGCACTCTGCTGGTGAAGGCACTACTCGGTCAAACGCTGCCCCATCATGTGTAACTCATCTGAACGCGTAGCTTGTGACTATCTCATGGGAATTCTGGGTGCACACATGAATAATTCCTCGTATAGTTGAGGATTTGATGCCAATAACATCTCTGCAGTGCCAAGGAGCACACAGACGGAACAGACGCCAGACGCCAAGCTTGTCGTCTAATTTTGCGCAACTCCTCAGCTTACTGTGATCGAGAGAGTACCGTACCTTCAGTCGTTCGCTGCTACTGTGGGCATGTCGAATTGACACACGCCCGAAATAAAGTAATATATGACAGGCCTAAGGACAGTCTGCCATATTAACGGAGGATCGTCGTGACCTTCCGTCGAGCCTCAAGACGTAAAGAAGGAGTTATTGCTGGCCTCCCCAGTCGCCAGATGGTCTGCGCAGAATGGCCCAAGGGCCTGGGGCTGGGGGAGAGGCGGCAGCCTGAGATGAGTTGCAGAGCCAGTCGTTGCAACTGATGATGCAAGACACGTCCACATGCAGCACTCCGTCTATTCGACAATTGACTTCGCTGAGGAGTCTTTGCATACACTAGTACTTACCGATGACAGGCATACGACTGCGTGCTGGTATGGGACTGCCTTCCGTACCAGCAGTTGTAACCGCGGGTACAGGTGCATTCCCTTCTACTGAATGCACCTGCCTGCCGAAATGCAACAACAGGTCATTTACTGCTTCCTGCGACCAACCAATGCGGGGCGCATGGTTTTATACTGCGATTACTTGCATGGTTCTGCCGGAATGTGCAAGAGCAACTGCAGTAGCTACGGTGTGCTCCGCAAGTGCCACGTAAAGAGCAGTGGTCCGCGAAGGCACAAAAATGCTCGTTTTTCATGAAAACAAATTGCTTCCCAAGGTTAAATTCCTCTGAAGCAGGTGCAGAAGCATATTTGGCAAAGATCGAACCCACCTACAGGCGGTTGCTATTCCGGATGTCAAGGACTTCCACGGTCTCGTATCCCACCATAATTCTTGGGCAGATTCGTCGTCAGTGAACTAAATGTGCACTTTGCACAGACATATATTGCAAAGCAAAGTGCTTAAATCACTTCACTGTACTAATGTATCGGCCAGCTGGACAAAGAGACAGAAGATGCACAACTCCTGCACATCCAGCAACACAGTGCTGCTGATCCCCTGTTGCTCTGCGCCGACCAGCATTCGCCAGCGTTTCCTGCGAAAATAAGAATGCAAATGTTTATTGAAATGCTTCAATATTATTCAACAGAAGCCAGACAGTTTTGAAGAAGGCACACGTATGGATCACCTGCCCTTTTGGGGCTTTTCAGGTGTTGCAGTTTCCGAGGGAGCATGCATAATTCAGAATGCAATTTGCAGGACTTCGTGGGTCTGTTCATGCCCGATTTGCCTTTATTGTTCCAAATCATTGCGCTAAATGCGTAATAGAAGAGTTTCCCTACTCGTGGCGGCGCACTAGGGCGTGCTCCTTGCTGCCCTTTCTCGTTTACGATTGGGCGTTAGTGTCTCATTCGCAAACCCCTGCAACGTAGAAGTTTTTAATTGTCCTAACCTGTACTTGATTAGTGCTGGAATTCCTGTGGACCTCCCCACAGAGGCGCCTGCTGCCTATTGCCTTCCAGCGTGGCCTGTCTGTTTGCGGGTTGTTTCTTGGCGTGGCATCCGCCCACAACAGGCCCATTGGCCCATCCCAGGTGACCACTGGTCACACCTCTTTGTATGGTTGAGGGGGTGCGGTTGCCTTCGTCAAACAAACTTCTACTACCACGATACCGAGATTGGCTGGGGGCCCGCGGGGCCGCCGGGGGGGTTGAAACCCTTTGACGCAGCTAAGTTGAGGGGGCTGTCTGCATCCGATATTGGTATACCCCTAAAACGCGAAAGGGACGATGGAGTCCCTTGTGGATCGGCTACCTTTGGGGGTGCGGTTGTTTACCGCTGCCTCTGCCTTTATCTTGATGATTGGAAGTATTGCATCTGTTGCAGCACCAGCGGATTACACGAGCTGCATTGTATGCCTGTACCTCATTTGCTTCTCTTCTGTCTGTCTACTGTGTGAGTTCTCTCCCTACGGGCTCAATGTCCTCATGGGCGTGTGCCCTCTTTTGGGGGAGTACTTCTTCCGAGGTGTCCTATATGTCTTGTAAGTAGCTCCACCATCTCCTATGTGCGCGCTTGCGACTGACAAGGCTGCACGGCATTCCCATATACTGCTGATAGGGGAAGCAAACAGGCAGTTCGTCTCTGCTAGGTGTCTCTGAGTCTTGTGGGCCCTTGGTTTGCTGCATGGCACAGTCTTGCTAAAGAAGCAAGCGCTGCAATGGTGGTGTGTGTGTATCTACTCAGGGTGGGGTTGCTGCCCCTGGGCATCGATACGGTGGGCTTGTGGGGAGGCGTCTTACTGATCATTTCGGGTATCCTCAACATTCTCATTCACGCCCTATTGCCAGTCCACCCGTACAACTTCTACACCCGCCGCGCTTCTGACCCAGAGGATGAGGAGGAGGGGGTATTTAACGAGTGAGGCATGAACAGCAGCCGTTGGAGATGCATTCATTTGTTTCCATCTCCACAGTGGGGCTGTCCCAGGCTGGTGCACTGCGGTGCCTGTTAAGTTTCCAATGAGGAGGTTCTTCATACAATGGCTAGCTTTTGACTCGGTCGTATTACAGACCCGCAGTGCAGAAGAGGAGCATAACGGTAGAATTGGTAATTGGTGAAGTTACTGAGCCCGTCAAGAGGGATGTCGCAGTTTAGCTGCATACCTTCCAGTGGCACGCTGCGCTCGTAGGCTGTTTTGGCAGTTCAGGCTCTCCGCCTTACCTCCTTTTTTTTGGGAATGCCTACACTGAAACCCAGTGTTGCGGCTGCACTGAATTGTGCTGTCTTCAGCGAGCCGGAGGCCGAGGAGGCTGGGGTTTTGCGGTAAACGCCGGGAACGGGTCGAGCTTGCGCACTCATATGAAGCTCTGGGCATTGATTGCCCCCATTTTTGCCCGTCACTCCTCGCACAGCAACAGAACATCATGCAAACTCCGTATGTGGAGCCTTTGAGCTGGCTCCAGGGAAAGCCGAGGCTTATGACCCCTCCTGTTCGCTTTGCTAATCCGCAGCAGCATTGCTGGGGAGGCTCGGTGTGAAGGTGCTGCGGTACTGTCTCTCCAACGCTCCTCTGCTGCATGGGCTTCTGCTTCAGCTGCAGTTTGACGAGCCGGTTGTGGGTTGCCTTTACCCCAACTGCTATTAGCTGGCCGCATGTACATGTTCCTGCAAATTCGTCTCTCGTACGGGCAACGCATTAACATATACCCAAAGTAATGCCAAGTGAGGCTGAGCCGGGTTGAGTTGAGTTGAGCTCTCTGGAGCAGGGACGTGGCGCGACCTTGTTGGGTTGTTTTTTTGATAGAATTGCAAGACCGCAAGCGAGATCTTGTTGGCGCCAATATACAATTCGGGGGCTCCCTGTACGGCAGGCTTTACCCGAGAAAGAGGGATTGCTTTTTCGTCTTGAGATGTTCCTTCCTGTCTTTACTTTTACTCTGTATTAGATATGTATATAGTTGTGGAATGTTTGTGCACGAACACAGAACTCAGCTGCTAGCGGGAAGCCTCTGAGGGGTTGGATGTCCGAACAGACGACTGCAAATGCGCTGGGTTCCATCACAGGGAGCACGGGCACTTTGGAATGGTTCCAACAATTGGGGGGGAAGTAGTTCTTTAGCCCAAGCGATGTGCGGTCTACTTGATGTAGAAAGACGCGTGCGCATCGCATGTATATATCTAGCTGTGCAGTGATCTTTTTCCCTGAAATCCTTTTTACTGGGGGGACGCGTTACCCCTGTCCATGCCATTGGCCACCCCTGCCAGAGGCCTTCCTCTTGAAGCGTCTAAATCATCCACTGATTCCGTGTGATATCAGTGCTTTGTAAGCCCTGCGTAAGCACGCCCTTTGTTGGATCCACCAACTAACTTTTGGTGACTGTGCAGCTAATGTTGCAACACCTATACAGATGCAACGGGCCCAGCTTGCAGGGAAGGGGTGAGAAAGGAGACTGAGTACGGCGTTTTCTGAAGACCCCAGAAGCCAAGTGCACCTGACAATGGGAGGGTGCGAAGACCTTCAAACCACAATCTCATCGAGGCAAAGACCGGCGCAACTTCCTGATGAATCTGCCTGCGCTGAAGCGTTGCTGGAGTTGGCCTGCATGGCAGTTCACTCTTTAGACGCAGCACTGACGTTCAGCATCCACATGAATGCAGTCTCAGGTGTCTCTCTCTGACGAATTATGCGATAGGTGCTGAGGTATCCTTGTCAGGTCATCTTACGCGCCATTGGGCAGGGCTCACACATGTGCTTGCTTAGGGCGAACCACCGAAGAAAGTCCAGCGCATGGAACATCCTTCAAGAAAGTATTTAGAGTGTTTCAGTCCAGTTGGCTCCACAGCCTTGATGGGTGTCTATTGTGCGTTAGACAGCACTCCAGAAGGCGGGGCGGACCTGACACTGCAGCAAACTGGAGGCATCAACCAAGCATTCTCTTTGGTGGGAAGTTTTGACTTGCTGACTCTTCCGGCTTGAGGACAATTTCATGTCCCCGTTATACTTCGAGGGTCTGGTACTCGCCCAATGAACGGCGAGGTGAAGAGCGAGTTGTAGAGTAACCTTTAGCATACGGGGATTATTCAGCATACTACTGCAAGGGCATAATGCGGCAAAGGATATACTTACTTTATCTGCAGATGAACTGTGGGCTGCCGCTCATGTGTTCTACGCAGTGCGCAATTTTGCGTTTCGGGTTCTTGTTCACTTTCGCAGTTAAGATTGGGTAGACCTCAAACACAAGCGTCCAGTGGAGACGATTTTAACATGTAGGTTGCTCACAGGGAGAAAATGCTCAAAACGGCGTATTTCTCCCCTGCTTCATTGGTGCTGGCCTGAGCAGGTCACCTGCTGTGCTCAGCTGCCACGCAGAGGAGGTGCGCTTACCTACATCCCTGGGATTATGCCTATAAAAATTGTTTAAAAAGAATTACAATCTGTTGAGAACTATTTGCTTCCCTGCTGGACGTGGAAAGGGGCCGCTAATTCAGTCGCAGTGCCGGACGGCGAGCATCTGCGCTGTTGACCATTCATCGGGGTGGACTCGTTAGGGATTGCCTGTATAGCAGTTGCGAAATCTTCTTGTGTTTACCCCCACATGCCTACTTTTGTTGGGCTTCTTTGATCGTGTATTTACTTCTTATCCGAGAGATGGGGCTTATTCCGAGGCGGGGGCTACTCGGAAGTCTCTACCTTGTCGTCTTAGTAGACACGCTTCTCTGCTCAGCTTCATCAGAAAGTGACGAAACGGCAGTTTTAGAGGAACTAGAGAAAACATTGTCCCCGCTTTCCTTGCGGGAAGTCCCTCTCGATGCTCCTGTAGTCGACGATTCTTCCCAAAGCCTGGAAGAGGCCTTAGATGGGTGGGAAGTTTCACCCGAGTTGCTTGAGGAGCTAATTACGCCTACCGAGGAGAAGGTCAACTTGCTCATAGACTCATCAATTATTTCGTGGACAGACTCACATGCAGAAAATGTGCCGCTGGAGGTACGGAAGGAGATGGTAAACGACTTGGAACGGGCACGTGAGTTGGGACTTCGTCAGGTGCGCCTCTTTAACTACATGGTTGAACTCAAGGGTCTAATAGATACGTCAAAAGGAGGAGATGGCGTCTACCTCAGAGACCTCATGAAATGGTGCAAGCAGATGTTCCTCAACGTCCATGCGGCTGAGGCAAAACTATTCCTCAAGCAAGAGGAAGTAAGGAAGCAATTCTTTCACCCAGGAGAGAGCAGCGCGTCTTCGCTGGACTCTCGTACCATCTATCTTATCCTAAGGCACCGTGCTGACGTGATTGTGAGACGGTTCGAGGCCTACATGCCAGAACCAAAGGAAGGTCCCGCAGCTGGAGCTGGCGAGAAAGGTGCAGAAGTACAGGCTACAAGGTGAAAAGGCCTATGCTTTTCAAACGCGGGGGACTAGTGACTCAGTGGAACTGCGTTCGCCTCTACATACGAACTTGCAGCTGTCCTCCGTTTTGAAGTTTTTGATCGCAAACTCCCGGCAGAAGTGCCAATCCTGTTTTCTCTTTTGACGCTTATGAGTCTGCACAATGAATATAGCTCGCCTGTAACTGCCTAACGCTGACGGAGCTTGAAAATCGTTGCCAGCGCTACTGCCTATAGGGGGGCCAACGGCCATGCACGGCCGTTCAGTGTGTCCCCAGGCCCTAGGACCTTAACAAAGCTACAATGCAGGAAATGTAATCGTCACAAATATCAGTCAAGGTTGAGCTCCTGCTGTCCCATTTGTTCGAATCGTGTCCGTGATAGAAGCGAAAAAGCGACAGCTAAAGAGAATAAAGCCTTCACTCACCGTCGTGAAGTGTTCAGGCGCCGCCCAAGAGCGTTACGCGAAGAATGCTGCCGTTTCATCCGACGCGGACAACCTCACGCTCAGACGAAACACAAAGGCCCCAGTGCACTCGAAGTCGGCGGGCGGTGTTACATGTATGCGTGCATTCGTCCAGCTAATTAAATATGCAGCCTGGAGCGTCGCATCTGTTAATAGCACTATGGGCTTATCCCTTCAAGCCCCCCGCTTTTGGCGGCTTGCTTTCATTTGCGTGTTGTCAAAATAGACGGCACGCATGGCTCAGATAGTCACAGTGACGTGCTGGTCCACTTCCTGTTCAGGATCTGGGCGCAAGTCGTCTCTAGCGAACCGTTCTTCGCTGTAGAACTTTGCTTTAACTGTGCGTCCGCCAAATGCACGCCCATTGAAAGTCAGCAGGGCTCGTGTCGCTTCCTCTTTTCTCTCATATTCACAGAAGATGCGAACAGCGCAGTCATCTGGCACTCCTGCAGCCTCAAATATGCGGACTTGGAGCAGATTTCCCAACTTTGCTGCTTCCTCCTCTGTCTCCTCCTTCAGATCTGCGTCTACCTGACCCCTACCCACCATGTTCAGCAGCAGCAAAATGCGCGTCGGGGCCATGTTGAATGTCACCGCCCGTGGCACTTGACCGAGCGACGTTACGTCATGGCCCTGTCGAAAGGCAGCACAGAAAAACTACCTTCAATTTTTAATTAGAAGCGAGATAAAAACCCCAAAGGCCACTTTTTTGTTCTTCCAGCGCTGGGCATACGGACCGACGACAGATAAACACGGGTACAAAAAGCACCGCTCCTTGTCTCCTTGTGTAGTGGAATAACTAACACAAAAACCAGTTGAGTGCATTGCACGCGAGAACAGCTCTGCTTCTTCTGCATAATTTATAACCCGGCAACCTTCCGCCGCAGCATAATGATGAAATGCACCAGAAAGCATCTGGAGACTTCAACATGCACCTGCTACAAGCAGAGAACTTGGGACACAGAAGTAGAGAGTCATCTACAATAGCATCGTCTATAAATAAGGAAACGAGGCCCAGCTACTGGCGTGATTTGCCCAGAATAGAAGTATTCATGATGATGGTCAAAGGCGCATCTCCGCATGACAAACTGCCAAAAGTACGCATGCATTCATCCCTCCGATGCTTACCTGCACAATAATGCCGCTTCTCATTGCTGTTTTTCTCGCCACAAGAGGAGCTGTGATTCCCTGTTTGTTGGCTCCCAGCCCTTCTCCCTGTTTCCAGCCCATCTTTTCCATCATCCGCGCTGCAAACGTCTTCTTATTGGGGTCGATATACGACGGAAGAAGCGGCGCCTGAGGCTCAGGGGAGGTCGCTGCATCTCCCCCGTCACCTCCTGTTCCTTCAATAGAACGGTTCAACATCACGCGGGCACACACACGCAAACATCACACAGGATCGCCAAATGAGGTCGCCTCGACCCACTGCCTTCCAGGTCAGGCAGGAAAAGCGCAACGAATTGTTTTGCCCTAAGACTGCGACGCCTGCATGCACAAGAGGCGAAAACCCCAAAATGTTCAATTCTAGGTGCGTACCGTTGCGAGAAGCCTCCTCATCTTGCTTCTGCTTTTCCAGCTCCTGCTGGCGCAGTCTTTCCAGCTCTTCCCTCTGCTGCTGTCTCATTTTCTCCTTGTGAATTGCCGCGTAGTCGTTCGGCTTCGAGGGGTCATACTCCTGCGGCCACAGGCCTACGGGCACCCAAGTCGTCGGGTCTAGAGGGGTGTTGCTACCCACAGTTACAGACACCGCATTAACAGCAGGCTCTGTCTGCCCTTTACTGGAGTCTGCTGTTCCTGCTGCAGCGTCTCCCCCTTTTCCACCAGCAGTCGCTGAGGCCCGCGCGCCAGCAGCCGCATCCGGTTTTTGTTCCTCCGCTAGGACCCCTGCATGCAACTTTTTAAGCCTTTCTAAAACAAGAGCAGCATCCGCTGCAGCAGCTTGCACGTTTAAAGACGGAGAAGCTTTAGGCGCAGCCTTTGCCATCGTCTGCCGCCGTACGACGGCCGGAGTTAAGAGCTTCAACCGCTGACTGGCCCACATTGCGCTGCTGGAGCTGGACGTATCTGCAGTAGCCGCAGTAGCAGCAGCCGCTGCTGCGGCTGCGACCGCAGCGGAACCACTAGAGCTGGAAGACGAGGCGCCTGTTGTTGTGGAAGCCTCAGCAGGGTCGTCGGGATCATCATATAGTGACCCCAGCAACGATCCACTAGCGGCCGGAGTAGATACGCCCTTGTCTGAACCATCCCCTTTGGTTGGGGGAGGCAGGTCGCCATAAAGAGAGTCAAGCATTATTGGAAGAAGGAACACGACGGGAATGAAAAAAGGAGGAGGGATGGGAATGGTGCTGAAGCAAGCACTGCAAGCGATTGCTGTTAAAACTATGGAGTGCGCAGGAATGCACACAGGGCATGTGGTACTGCCAGCCAACCGATGCAGCTACAGTAGCAAATCTATTCCTGACGCGGCCACAGACGCTCAATCTGAATAAACCGGGCGGCTGATGTGAAGGATGAGGTCGTTGCATACAGCCTAGTTCGGTGGAACATCCGCAACCCTTTCACAAGAGAGATGAAAAAATAAGTGGGAAATTTGTCGCCCCTGAGGGTGTTTTGGCATGCTGCTTCAGGGCACGGGAAAGACCGACGAGTTAAATGCGAGACGCAAAGCTGCTGCCTGTGCGCATAGTGATACCCATGAAACAATGAAAAGTGCATGCATACTGCAGAAATACGATCCCCCGAAGTGTCTATTCCCGAAAATCGATTTGAGCGCGTCGGTTAAGTTTAGACGATATGCGAGCCCCAAAGTGTAGACTGGGAAGTCCTCGCTTCGAGAGTGCCTTGAAACGCTTGATGAATTATATGCATTGAAACAAAGAATGGATTTAATCAAGCGGCAAAAAGAACACAATGAAGCCTGTGGCCCCCAAATGCCTTCCTGCATGCACCGTAGCTCATGGAACAGAACAACTCATTCACGAACCAGCTCAATCACCCCACATTTTGCCGACTGTTCACAACCAGACCTAGGGATTTCTGGCATTTCCTGGAAATAATCACGAAGAACAATTCTCGGGGCGGCCGTATGCCTATCGGGTCCACCGCCCCATACAACTCGGGACAGATTCTGCTCCCGACGGAAAGGCCAGAAGCAACGAGTGTCCCCGGTCGTATCCGAGGACTGTAGTGAGCTGAATTCAAGCAAAAGACTTATCGTGAGAGTTCCTTATATGACCCCCTCCCCAATCTACAGACACCCTGGCCACAGGGCCTGGGACTCTGGGGAAAGAGGCCTCCTGCCTAAGTCACAACGCAACTTGTTGCAACTAATACTGCAAAGGACCCTCACAAGCAAGCACTGCCTGTTTCACAGGCCACATTCACTGTAGACAGTTGTACTGTTTGCGTACCCTCTTGCGGTGAAGGGAGTTTTCCTCAAGACCGTACTACACTGGAGGAGTAACCACCATACAGAAGCCTCACTTCGAATAATTTAGATCCTCTTGTGCCATCACTCAATGGAAATCAGTCCAATAATCGCATATCGTTTCCGCCATGTACATTTATTTGTTCACTGTTTTCCCCTCGCAACTCATTAGCTGGTTGGCAAAGCATATCAGCTGGGGTAATTACGCAGGCCTTTGCCGCATTAGAAAACCTAGAACAGTATTCGCTTTCCACAACGAATCATCATGGGAAGCGCGAACAAGTTCGCGAAGATTGCGCCCAGTCGAAGGGAGTTGTTCCTATCGTATCACCCGCCAACAATGGGATGGGCACTTAGTACAACGGAACCACCTGAGTTTGGTGTAGATATCCTTTGGCGATTTAGCAGTGAAGTGCATGCAGTTTGGACTACTGCGTCATCCCTCCTGCATGGAGCTTCTCCAAGCTAACTTACTGTTTGTCTCTTACACCCACAAGGATGCAAAACAAACGTCGCCAAGGGAATACAATTACACTATAGGTGCATTTCGCGTCAGATCTCCCTGTACGAAGTGCATATATCATATCTCAGTGCTGAAGGAATTTTTCCTAATCTGCTTGTGTGAGTGTGGGAAGCATCAGCAATGCGTTCAGTCCCCGCACCACGCGCTTTGCTCGGCGGGTGCGGAAATCGTTTTCAACTTTCCAGCGGAAATCATTGCTACCCAGCTGCAAATGAAGAACAGCTCACCAAAAGAACAGCCCTGCAATACTCTTACACTCCAAGAACCACTGGCCTGTTACCATCTAGTCAACAGGCACGTTTGGACTCCAGACTACGGTACAAAATGCTAACCTCTGGGAACTACGCTAAAATGGCACTGAGCAGTTTCAAAATAACTTGAATCTTAAAAATGCGTTTTCAGCTAGGGGCTAGCGCCGCACTGCAATATGCATGGCATATTGCAGTGCCGCTCATGATGGCCCTCAGCTTATTCTTTCCGAGATGTCCTGTATATCGTCCATTGCCACCTGGGTGTGACCGTCTAAACAGCAGCTCACCACAGCCTCTGCTGGAGCAGGCACGCCAACCCTTATAATACGTCAATTACCGAGCTTGCAGGATCACTCATCAGCGCTCATTGCTTAGTTCGCAAGCGAGCACAAGCCCTGGCAGCCAGCCAGTGACACAGAGGCAACACGTCGAGGGTGTCGCCGAGTAGCGCAGGATCCGTTGCTGTGGCGAGAAAGGAGCCCTTGACAAACCTTGAGATCAACAAACTGCGTCCAGCCTGGAAAATGCGGAAGCTTGCGGAGCAAAAAACTGCCCAGGACTACGAAGAGCCTGGAGGCCCCGTTCGCTTCCCAACCGGACAGAGCACTCTGAGAGATAATCGGCTATAAATTACCCCCACTAACCGCAGAGGTTCCTCAGAGGTGTTGCTCCCAATCTTCCGGCACTTCCTCCTCTTCCTGCTCACACGACACAGTCGGGTGCATCATCACCACTGCAAGCTTTCGGAAGAATACAAAGCCCTGAAAATTAAGATATTTCAGTGCATGCTATAACCAAGCTTACATGCATTGGTTCCGGTGCAGCTTCGCGCCCTCCCTCTCCTCGTGGGCCCACACCGCCGCCCCCGAAGTCTGCTTGGAAACCTTGCGGCATATAGCCCGTCTTTATGGCCCCTCCTCCCGTGTTCGTTGCAGTGACACCCCCAGTGCCACTTACATTTACACCCACACGAGGGGCTCCTGAAGCTATGGGATTATAGTTGTAGGTGGGCACCTCAAGGTAGTCGTTCAGGCGAGAGATCGGAACAATAGACCTCCTGCGTTTCAGCATCACCGCACGCATCAATGATACATGCAACCCATCCTGTTCACGCGATGACAGCGTAACAAATGTAAGGCGCAACGAAATGGTACGCCATAACAACTCCGCTGCGATGACCGTCGATTGCAGCCTTACTGGCTTCCAACCCAAGAAATCCATGGTCTCCAGTTCACCGTATCCGCCCTGAGAGGCGAACGCATTAGCAAAAGAAGAAAATACGCCGACAAGAGCAAAGCGGAAGGTCGTTACCGTTCTGCAACGTACAACCGCTTACCAAAGAGACAACTGATCTCCGACCACAAGGAGTCCTCTTCTAGCGCGCGTTAGCATAACGTTCAGCCGGCGTGCATCTTTCAAGAATCCAATTTCCCCTCTTGGGTTGGAACGAACAGCACTAAAGATAATAAGATCCTTTTCTTTGCCCTGGAACCCATCCACCGAGTCGACATCAATCTGGTAGCACAACGCCTTATCCTGAAAACGCTCAGTATATGGGCACAAACTATGCATTCGCATCATGTTGCAAGTATCCTCCACATAACCCTGCTTGCAAGGCTGGGCCGAAAACTGGATAGGGGCACAGCCCGGTTCAGAACGAGATACCGACCCCAAGGTCTGTACTGCGGCGCAACCAAACGCGCCAGCCCCCATGATGCTGCACGAGCCTGCCGCGGAAAAAGTGAAAGTCGCTAGCGGCCAGCAACTTGCCGTGTTACTCACAAAAGAGTCGTTCAAGGCGAAGCGAATTCGGGCTTTCTGCGCATCGTAAGGAGTTAAGATGCCGATTTCACTCGGACGGATTGTCCCACACTGTAATACCGACCTCAGTATCGCCAAGATCGGATCTATTTCCCTAAAATGAAGCGTCAAACCATGGAGCTAAACAGACCATATCCAAGGGGAATACACGGACGCTCCTACAGCCCCCCACAGCCCGCCAGCCATCACCAATATGCATAACGGAAGCATCGGCTACTCCATCAATGAAAACGAACCCAATCGACCCATCCAAAGTAGAAGGGAGAAGTAGTGGAAAGGGATGTTAGGTGGCAGCATACACAAGGCTGTACTTCGACGTCCCCAAAGACTGCTCCATATTAGCCAGCCCAGCAGATATATCAATGAGACAGACGCGACTGTGCTGCGATGGCCATAGGAAACCTGCTACTGTAGGCCGGTTGCAGTCATCCACGTCTGCACCACATATACACCAGCATGCAATTGTCCATCCAGATGCCGCACGCCGATACACAGAAGCAATTTACGTCACACGCACATCATCATAAAATTGAGCCAAATGTAAACCATCTCATGTCCACCCAGAACTTTATGACTCCGCAAGGCACTCCCATCCTCCCCACACTGGAAACGCGAACTTCAAGTTCAATATGGGTTTATTCATCCTACTGCAAGATATCTCACGCTCAAACGCGTGCCTGTAAACCCACCCTAGAGAAGGGAACCCACCTCGGCTGAAGATCTTGCCTTGGTAGAACTGCATGTTGGGAAAGTGTGCGATGCTCGGGTGCATACGACGTTGCTCATTTAGCAAATGGATCGGTGCGATGCCGCTCCCAACAAATCGTTCAAGGAGCGAAACGCCGAGCCTGACCATCAAGAGACACATGAATGCTCAAAAGCTGCTGCTCAATGGCGGATGAAAACAGCCCTTGTTAAAGCCAAGCTATGCGCCTGCTACAGTACACAGCTTCATACCCGCCGTCGCTAGCTTCCCGTGATACAATTGTCGGTGGAAGTTGTTTGTGATCGCCGATGAGGACCACCGAGCGACAACCATGACCTAGCGGGATCAGGTTGGACGGTTCTGGAAAGACCTCGCAAACAAACAGATGCAGCAACAAATAAATGCAGCGGAAGGCGCTTCGAATGGTCTGCGTTTTCGGCGGACGTGCATCAGTAACGGACGTACCAATGGATTGAGCGCATTCATCAATAATAACCCTTTCAAAAGTAACGTCGTCGAACATCTCGTGCCCGCTGCCCACACAAGTAGCAATAATCACATTGTACTTGCGCACGGCTTCTCGAACCAGAAGCATGCGCAAACTCCGCGCCTCCCCAGAATTCTTGTCTCGCATCCGTAGAAGGTCACGATATCGAGGAAGATCTGAAAAAACATAAACAACTACCAAGTCAATTTGCAGCTATCGCATCCTGCGATGAGCAGCATGCACCTGCAGAGAGCCTCTACACCCGGAGGCATCGGCAAAAAACCCAATGGACGAAAAATTGCTGAGTACCTTGAATTGATTCCTCCTTTAAGTCCGATTCACTTCCGCTACCTACACGGACACTGCGAATGCCCCGATTGCTCAGGCCCTCCATGAGGTTGTCCGCTGTGCGCAAGCAGCAGACGTATCCCAGGAGAAATATGAATGGTTGGATTGGCGGACAGGAACTACTTGGCTTGAGCTAGCCCCAGTATGAGTACGCTAGGCACAATTTCGCAGCCATCAGCGACCTGCAGCGCTGATGGCTGCGAAACTGCGTCTAACGAATGAGATAAAGATGTGCACACCACGAAGATATGAATGCAACTACAGACAGAATGTCTACACTCGTGACAAACCAGCAACATTCGAGTCCGCGACTGCAAGAATCTTCTTTGTCGGATTGATGCGCTGCCACGCGTCAATGATGGCGCAAGCCACATGTGTCTTCCCCGTGCCCGGGGGTCCTGAATCAAGGACAGATATTTACATGACACATTTTCAAAGAAGCTCGTCTGCTGCTGTCTGGTGCAGGTGCTAGCAAAGAATCAGTCGCAACGCACCCTGAACAAGGGTCAGACGGTTCGTCATCGCGCTAATCGTTGCTTGGCGTTGAGCTTCGTTAAGTGGAAGATCCGTAGGGAGGCGAAACCCATCCCCGAACATGTCATACCCTTCGTCCGCAGCACTTCGGCTGGAAAAGGGGGTTTGTCTCCGCGCCTGGAGAGACTGAGAGGCACCGTCGCATCAACAGCGACACGTTTCAATCGGACTTGCTTTCCCATGGCAACCATGAACTGAAGTAGACTTAATGCACGATGGCATGCGCACACGCGTAGGCGCAAATAAAAACAGCACGATATTGGAATGCAAATGCCCATGGCCCGCAATTCCCGGCAATGCATCGCCACTACCCCCTGAGTGTCGCAAGCTCACAACTTGTTGCAACAGCGATGGCTGCACTCGTTGTTTCTTGCACGAGTCGCCATCTGCCAACTCATCCAGCTGGTGTAACGGGTTGTATTGCTCTGGATCTGTGTCGCTCAGTTGTGGCACCGGCCCCCCTGAGGTAGCACAATACACAATTAATGCCCCCAACTAACGAGGACCGTCGATCGCGCCACAACACTAGTGTGACCTTGGTGCAAAAACAAATATCTTATCCTGCGCCTCTGAGCAGCACAAACATGTCGGCGCACTTCCCAAGAACACGTATTTTTCAAAATAATTGTCCGATCGCAACAGGCATCCGTCGCGCCAATATCAGTGCAAACAAGGCTTACGGCCTGAGACCTGCTGAGCCTGAGGCTCGCTCGTGTGAAGGAGAAGGTAGCGGATCTCCGGCGCGAAAACGTAAGGAGGCGGCGACTTCTGCGCTCAGCATTACCACACGGACAGTACGGAAGAGGAAGAATATCCAAGCAGTTATCCTCCTATCTAGTGCGCTACCGGCGTAAAAAAATACCCAGAAAATGTGCACTACCAATCGAGTACAGGTCCTCCACATGCACAGCCCGCGCTGTCAACAAAAAATTGAAAGACATGCAGCAAGGAGGAAAGCTAAAGGGAAGACTTTCCATGTAACTGACCCCTGCAGGGTGCTTTGACATCGTAAGACCTCGGAGGGCCTGAACCATCCGATCGTGCGTCACGGCAGGTGTGAGGTAGTATAGTTTGAATTTGTTGGTGGCTGATGAGCACCAACGCATGCGCACGCAGATAAAGGGGCAAGCACACATGCATACAATATTTTGGCTACAGTGTGAATTCCAACGGTGCTTGACTACTGTCATTAATGGTCGCCTTAATTCGTTATTCCAAACCGAGCAGCAGGTGAGAGTCTCACTGAAGACCTCCGGGTACTTCTTGACTTCAGCGGTGGCGACGCGAACATTCACGTTCATCGATTCCGAGAAGTCCCCCTTAACACTCGTCACCACGCCCACAAAGCATCGTTGCTGCACGCAACAACTGCCCACCAAGAGACGCATGTGTCCTGTTGAAGCCATGAAGACAGCAAAAACATGGCTACTCAGAACCTAGTCCAGCCGCCAACAACGGGGTAGCCAAAGGGAAGCCTTCACTCCATATCTGTTGCACACTGGCACTTCCCCACGACGGGATCTACCCACCCATGACTCTTCCTCAGTAAACGCATGTGAATCACATGGCCTCAGAAGAACAATGTCGTCCTCCCGGAACTGTACGCTCCTAAGGAACATACGCTCCTCCTCTGCGAAAGCGTGGAAGCGAAAAAGAATCAGACGCATTGAATTGGAGAATCCCCTCGAGACCAATTCATTGTGCACACGCCCATCACACCCCACAAGGGATGCACTGCTACGCCTGTACCCCTCAGCAATCTACAATCCTGTCTTTAGTGCGTCGCCGCGGGGTCATGCTAACAAGGAAAACGAAGAAGCGCATTATCCTTCAGCAACGTGTAGGAACCAACAACTCGTGTGAACTGCGCCGAAATGTCTAGACACCATGAAAAAGAGCAATCATGGCTACGCCTGTTTCTATGTTACAAGGCGGATGCTAGTTATTTGATGACGCCTGTGGGCTAATTCTGTGTGTCCGATTCCCCCTGTCTGCCAATCTCAAGAAAGGGAAAGGAATTGTTGTGCGATTGAATAGGGGAAATCTATGTGCACTCGCCTCTCAGGTATGTTGAGAAGGAAAACACAGGGAAGGTCACCGACTTCCGCGTGAGCAGCACATGCTTCCCTTCCCCCAGATCAGCGAAGGCACGACGGTCGCTGATATTCGTTGCCACTTGGGCTTGCCACTCCAAGGCAAGCATCAGCCTGAAAGAGAAGCAAACCATGCATGCACACCGCGCATCAGCAACTATAAAACTACGCACGCCACATAAGCAAGCGTCATTGGCAGTCGATCGGGTAAGACTGGGGCGCTGGACGCTGTTGTGCAGCAGCACGTGCCTGTAATTATGGAAGTAGCGCATCGCCAGTGTGGAAGGAAACCAGCTGCTATCTAGAGACAGACCCCCAAGTTCGTGAAGCACAGACTGCAAAAACCACACATCTCAATCGTAGCGACCACCGAAGTGCAGACTGCTGAGGTACCAGAGTATGGAAGGACACAAAAAGGAAAGGACCGCAGTGGGCTGTACATGACGTAATCCAGTTCAACAGCCACCTACGCGGGGTTTCAGTAGCGTACCTGGCCGAACTCGCAGTTGGTAAGGACTGTACACTCGTCAAGGAGCTGCTCCCAGAGATCTGGAGGCATCACCTTCGGTGCGTCGTAAGATGCCTTCACCGTCTCTTGCGACTCGGGGCTGTTTTGCCCTTCCCCTATTAACAGCAAAAGCCCCCGCAGCAGCAGCCCTGTCACTCGCAGGGTATGGCCTACAAACACCATCGGCAATCATCAGCAAATATACATTCCAGTGACGCACGCTCACCCCGAGCTTGTTCCGCAGCGGGCAGACGAGGGGCAGCCTGCATCTTGAGTTGATCGATGAGGGAATTCACGAGCGAACGGTTGCCTTCAGCCATTGCGGCCCGCCAAACAACAGGGAGGAAAATGCGCCAGACCGCCCCCCTCGTCTCGGCAATGAGACGACAAGCACTCTCAACGTACACAGAGGGGTCCTGTTGAGAACAAACACCCGCCACAATGCAAGCCCGTTTTCTGTACACCTGACGCACCACCATTCGACGCAGAAGAGCTGGTGGTGCAGCGAACTCGAAAGCTCCAGCCATCAGCAGCTACTAAGCATTGATGACAAAAAGCAGGAAGCCCGAAATTACGTCGCAGCTCAGCTGGCTAACACACACTGGATGTGGCTTTCTCTGTAAAGAAACGCGAAAGCCCCACAGCCCGACAGCCCGACAGAAGGCCTCCGAAGGGCCCCACCTTTTTGCTTTCCACCTGGTTAACAACCATGAGGGCTGCCTGCCTGTCTTTGTCTTCGACATGCTCTATGAAGCCGGCCGCTTGCATCATTTGCATGGCTGCTTGAGCTCGGGCACCCGCCTTTGTGGAGCCAACGGCAACGATGACATGCTGCGATATCACACCAGAGGAGCCGCGACCTTAGCCGGATACCTTTAAGTTACTGCATGAAAGTCCGCCGCATGCACGCCTTGTAAACAGGCTGCCTAGGTAGGGGACTACAGGCTCTGCAGTAAGAAAGGGAGCGCCGCTCGGTCGTGTGCGTACAGAGTGCATGCGCCCCTCGATCGACTTCCACTTCCACTCCAAAGCGCAACGGTGGCCTTCAGGTACCTCTGTGATAGTTTCCGTGGCTTTGATTTGGTTCTGAGAGGTGACAGTATTGTGCAGCATGTTTATTTCCCCTGCCGTGTGCTTGGAGAGCTGCGACGGCTTCGTGATCTGACTCCGATGCTCTTGCGGCTGCTGCTTTCTGTTCCTCGACGCCTCAGCATTCAAAGCCGCGCGACGCATCAAACCCTTGTCTTTCAGCTGCAGGTAACGTTCACTATGTACGGAATTAATGAAAACACTAACTTCATGGATGCACAGGCTGCAACGAGGACCGTCGCGAAGAACATACAGTTAGGTGGGAGAAAATGAGTGTAACTAGGGGCAAACAGAAGCGCGCACCTCTTGGACTTTTATGTACATATCTTGCATGGCAGCTATCTCCGCCTCAACCGGAAAGGAGCCATTCCCTGTAGATTCCACGACAGTGGTCTCTCCATCGAGCAAAAAGTTCCACTCGAAGTTGTGCTCTGCGGCAAACCCAATACGATGCACCGCAAACGCGAAGACCAACCCTGCCTCTCCCGCCTCCCTACGCAGCAGTGCAAAAGGCCTATCTACTAAGGAAAACCCGCAAACATATAGGAAGTGCAATCAGCGCCTGAACGAAGCCGTCAACTGCCCACAAGTTGAGGAGACGAAGGTCAAAGACCACTCCAGCATGCCCCTCTGCCTACGCATATCTGTGGTTGTACTCGTGTGTGAGCACATAAGCACGTCTGTGGGTGGGGTGAGGAGTGAGCATGCATCAACGCCGATCTGTGCAACGACAGCCATGCTTGAGAGCGCAGAAAGATTGTGGTGTGCCAATGAGGTGAACTTCTCACTCATTCTGGAGACAGGGATAGCCCTCTGTTTTGCATTTAGCTTCCCTCTAAGGGTGTTGAAAATCACGCGGGTGACTTGCTCATACTCCTGTGGGTTCGACGCATCACAGAAAACGGGGAGCCGCAATACGCCCCACTCAATCTGCGGCGTCAGTACACCCCGTTTGGTTCTTCCGACGCGCTCACCTGCGGAGTCACGGGCCCCAGTTGCACGAGGAGGACTTTTACTGCCTCCTTCTTTGCGTCCTTTTTAGACCGACCGATACCGGAAGCACGAAATTCACGGCCTCTGACATTCCACACGAGAGTGTGCTGAAACCCGCCGTTACTGCCTCCCCCAGGGGCCCTCTCGCAATGTTCCTGAACTGCGGGCTTCATAAACTGAATCAAAAACGCAAACCACACTGCACTGCCTCCACGTGCGTTGGAAAACGGGTGAGCATACGACCCTACGCAGCATTTCCACTTGTCCAGTCTGTTCCTCCTGTTACATACTGTGGGTGGCCAGACGCATGAAGCCCCCACAGTACGCACGTAGTCGAGAAGCACTGTATGTATTGTATGGATGTATTCCGCATCATGAGCAACGTGAGGCTACTCGCTCAGCGCTAAAGCGCTGCATATAGTTCCCAACGCACCGTCTGCCTAACTCCGTAGAAGTGCAGGATGTATTCATCGTCGAGCGTGAGTTTGTTGAAAGCCTCAAGCCCTCTGTTTCCAAATAGTTGAGAAATAGCAGACTGAGGATCACTCCCTGTAGAGCCCTGGCTCGCTGGGGGTGCAAAGCTGCCTCGGGACCCATCTGAACTCCCCAGACTATATCTGGGTGTTTCCCCAGGTGCCCCCAATGAGGATGGAGACTGCGAAGAAAACCCCGAAGGGGCTCCACCGGAAGGAACCCGCTGGAGGCTATCCTCCCGGGAAGAGAAGGTCCCTGAGTCGCTGGAGGTGGGAGCGATGCCCTGCATACGAAAAGAGGAGAAGCTTCGGGGCAAGCTTGGTGCTTGATGGTCCGAAGGCGTTGAGGACCCTGGAGGAGGGCTTGCTTCAGGCCCCCGTGGGAGGCCAACACTGTCCCGGGTCCCGGAGCGCCTCCAACGCGCGACCGGCTTTGCCATTCTTAGACACGAAGAAAAAAGGCTGCGCTGTTGTACAGTGCAGCTGCAACGTCGCCACCCCGATGCAGTTTGCGCCCAAATGTGAAATGGCCTGCAGGGGCCGGTCGGGGAAACGGAGGATGACACGAATGGGGTTCTTTGGATATCAAGCAGGGAAGCCAGAATCTCTCTAGACCGGTCAAGGGACGTCGAAGAGCAACAGGTAATCTGTGAGAGGCAGGAGCAACAGACACAATGCTGAAACAGATGCTTTGCAGCAACCTGCGGTAACCCGCGCGGAGGAGGGCTAGCAAGCCTTCTTGACGCCAATCCCGACAGGAGCATCACGCCTCCCCTCCAGCCAACAAGGAGAGGCGAGGCGTCCCCTGCACGGAAAACCTGGAGGCAGCCAGTCCACTCTGAATGACAAGCTGATGGGTCTGGCCGTGGGGTGGGAACTGAAGAAGAAAACCCTGTTTCGCCGCCTCTGAAGGGTTTAAGGAAGCAGCGGGTGTTCTAATAACATGCAAAAAGGAGAAACGTTTTAAATATAGAATGCGGGGCGAGAGAAGGGGCCCTCTTTCTTTCGCTGTTAGCGAGGGCTCAGGAAAGACAGAAATCTACGACCAAAGGCCGATCTGCGTTTGCGCCCGTGGCAAGGCGTTCGCAGTAGCCACGAAAAGCAGAGGGCCAATTTCAACTTATAAACAACAGTTTGGAATACGAAAAGAACTCATCTTGAGCGAAACGCAGGGTGCTTTCGATCCTTAGGAAGGGCTTCTCACCAACGCTCTTCGGCTGCGTCTGCATGCAACAGTTGTCACTGTTGTCATGCGGCCTGTCAAGGGCTCACACACATGACTGAATCCTGTCTGGAACAGCATTTACGAATCCTTGATTCAATAACGCCATTGTGAACTTAGGAGAGCCGAATCCTTCTAGAGAAGCAGCATCTACCACCCTAACAGGGATGCGAACACACGAGTGACTATGGTAGCCAATCCATTCGGGTCTACTGAGCGGCCTTTATATACAATACAAGCAAAAATGTCGCAGTGTCAGGACTTTAGTGCGCCAGAAGTGGGGCTTCCTCGATGGTTTCCCAATGCACTAACGTGTAGCTGACCGGTGGGAGAGAACGATGCGGCGTGCACTGTGGAGTTTGTGCGTGCCCCTTCCAGTCAACACTACGTGGCGAAGTTACATAGTGGCCATAAATCCTTGGCCAACAGAGAAAAGGTACTATCACATAGTTGGCCGCTTGCAATGACCGTCTTCTTATTGGAATAGGAGCACAGTGGCGCAATTTTGTGCAGCGTGCTTGAATGAGGTACTTCAAGATGGTAGGTGCCTTACAATGAGCGTCTTCTTGGTGGAATACGAACGCAGTGACGTAATTTTGAGTAGCATACGTGAACGTGTCCATCGAAGATTGTTAGTCGCATGCAGCGGAATCTTTGAACGATGGGCTGCTTTGGATGAATAAGCATGCACTACTGTTCTAGTGGAATTCTCGATAGGTGCTGCGTTGTGGAAGGGGCGGTTGCATGGTGCACCGGGTTCGTATTCTCCATACTTCCAACTGCCCGTCTGGAATTCACCAGGGGCTCCATAGTTGTGTGTCAGTGTGGTATGCCGTCTTTGAATGCCTTGCACGCAAATGCAGCGCCACCAGGTTTCAATGAGCTCGGAACTCCCTGACGCAAGTGCTATAATTGTTACTGCTGTGAATGCTATTACTTTATTATTGGCCAAGGGTCCTACTGCTTCCTAAGGTGTATGCGCCCATTGACCGCTGGTCACTCTTCACCCTTAACGCGCCGGACTTCCATCGATTTGCACGGGAGATGCATCCGTTCCAAATTGACTACTGGATTAAACCGACGATTTCCAACCGAAAGAGCATGACAAAGTGCTGACGGTTTGGTGCTACAAGCCGCATGGAACCCGTTGGCGTCTGGAGAAGCGCTTGATCTACGTTAAGGAATAGCACAGATGCAAGGAATTCTACTCGTCTGGTGCAAAGGGGACGCTTCCTATTTCGAACAATTCGAAGGACCTCTGCTCCGTAGTCCGTTCCCATCACAACTGAAGTCCGTCCTTCATTTGCCGCTTCTTAATCAGCAGCAACTGCTGCTGATGTCGTTGCTGCCGCGTCACCGTGAGAAAATGCATTTTCGAGCTTTCGTCCGTAAAAGAGCAGGTCACTGCCATTCTTTTCACTGTTCTGCAACGGTCTTAGCAGCAACAAACCCGTTACAGCATAGCACCAATAAGGCTTTCCCACGAGCGAGGAGCTTCCTCGACTGACCAGGCCCCAGATTCATACCAAACGGGGAGGCCCCTACATTGAAGAAACCTTAGCACAAAGAAGGGCTATCCATTAGCAAAGTAGCTCCAGAACGTCTCTGATTCCTCCCCCTCCAGCTGCAGACGCAAACGTAAGAACCGTCACTAATCACAGATGGAGCAGCAGCAGCCAGGCCGCTTGGAGTGGCGCAAAGAGAACAGTCGCAGCAATTGCAGTGCACGTCGCGCGGAAACTGACCTCGACAGAAAGCTGTAGCTGACCGGGTTGGAGGTTGAAAGCCCCCAGAACTTGGGCCCTGACAGCTTCTTGATCCCTGGCCGGGTCAAATGCCGCCTCGGCCCCTACCCACAGCCATGCTCTGACTGTTTCGGCTGCTGTTGCTGTTTTAGACGAAAGCATTTCAGCGCCTATCGTCCCGCTTCGAGCACTGTCGCTGTCCCCCTCCACCAGCAGGAAAACCCTGTCTGGCAAGAGATCCTCCGAGTCAAAAAGGTCCAGCGGTTCTTCTAGGTCGGGGAGACAGAATAGCTTAGCTCCTCCCTCGGCATTTTTCACTCCTGCTCCTACTGTTTCTGGTGGAATCCCATCCGCGGGGTTCCCAAACAGCTCGAGTGACCGTCGCAGTGACGGCACACCAGAGGATGCTCTGCTGCTGTTGTTGCTGCTGCTCTGTGGTGGATCTGAAGTTACTTCGTATGACCTGTAGGGGCCCTCTGTAGCTCCTTCCACAACGCCTGGCACCTGAGTGGTTGGTGGGTCTTGGGAGGTTCCAGTAGGCATTAAGGCCCCCTCAGATGCCCCCACTGCTTCCCAGTCCGCAGGAAGGTCAAAGGCGCAATAGTCTCTCCAGCGAAATGGCTCTTCAGATTTCTCTGGCACCATCGGTTCCAACTGTACAGAACGCAACACAGCACAGCACCGACGCAGCGCAGCAAATAACCCTGCATTCAAATGTGCTTGTGGGGCAGCGAATAACTAGAGTTACGGCAGCAACAAAAGCAGCAACTAAAGCAGAAGCATTAAAAGATTCTGGCGCACTCCTGAGAGCAGATTGGGGGTTCCCAGATGTGCAGTTCCTCCCCCTATTCCCAGTGCTAACCAAAAGGCTGGAGGCTCCAACCCGGGTGAGATGTAATGGAGCTGTATGTCTGAGGAGTGTCGCAAAATAACAAGTGAACGCATCACGCAAAAAGGAACCAGCATAGAGAATTCTTGAGGAGGACGGCAACAGAGGCTGCACTTTCCCAAAACATGTCATGTCATCCATCCCAGCCCCTCAGTCCCCAAGCCAAAGCAAGGTACAACCAGAGAGGGAAGGACGACGTCCAACGCAAACTATAACTACAAACAAAAAGACGCAAATAGATAGACAAGTGAGCTTTCTGGCGGGGGTCGTTACCGCTTACTGCGCCGTTCGACAAGCGCCACGTTTTCTTGATAGTTCCGCGCTGCTTCCTCGACATCTGTTGGTCTGCGTAGGCACTTGCTGCTATCCATCCACACCCAAGCCTGGCCGCCGCTCCTCAGCATATATGCCCCTTGCTCCGACATTAGGGGCAATACTCCTGGTTGCCACTCTGTCATTTCTGACCAAAGTAAGAAGTCGGGGGAGTAAGCCGAATGCACAACAAGACGCAGAAGCAACACGCAATCCTCTACAGGTGAGGGGGTCTCGGCTGCTGCTGCTGCCACTGCAACGGCTGCTGCAGCGGGCTCTGGCAACGAGGCGAGACATGGTACTGCGGGTGGAGCTTCTACTGAAGCAAAAGGGCTGTCTCCTTGTGGATGCGTGCCACTGCCTTCCTCCCTGTCTCCACCAGGTCTGGGTGGTGCACATATGCGGGGTGCTCTGGGGCCCAGACCTTTTGGCGGGGTCCTTGCATCGTCCGCTTCGAGCGGCGGCCCTGTGGTACACGGGTTGCCAGCAAGTCTAGAAGCACCAGACAAGTCAAGGGGGATGGTGGGTGAAGGAGGCGCAGATGGCCCAATGGTTTTCGGTGAAGGGCCCCGGGAAGCCGACGGTACGCCTGCGGGAGAGCCGCATTCTAAGGGAGACCCCGCCCTTTTCGTGCCCTTCCCCGGCGTCGTGCAACGCCGACTAGATTCTGGCGAGGAAGGGGCTGATACCAGCCCCCCCATGGAAGGAGGACTCCTAAGAGCCTCCTGCCCATCCTTCGACGCAGTAAGATCGAGATTTGTAATGGACGCGCGGGGATGCCGGAGGCCTAAGCGCTTCTGCAGAAGCAGCAGCTGGAACGTGAAACCTGTGTTAGGGCTGCAGATAGCACGGCGACTCCGCATCTGGAGGGAGGCACAGCAGACAAAAAAAACACGACGGAAGGAGGCGGATAGACGCAGGCAGTGTGTGGCATCGGGCCATGAAAAAGGCGCAAAGCACTAAAAAGCTGCTGCTCATGTCGACTCTGCAGACATAATTGCTGCTGGTAACACACACAGAGCCTCCGCTGTTGCTCCTTTGGAGGTGCTACTGTCGTGGTCCTACCCGTTCAAAAGCTTCAGCAAAAGGCAGGCGGAGTCTCCACATAAGGAAGGCGATCGCGAGAGTGGCCGACCTCGACACACCTTCTTTGCAGTGTATCAACACTTTGTGGGGATTCTTGCTGCTTTTGCAAGTATTGCTGCTGCTGCGATCGCTATTCGTGTTGTTTGTGTTGCTGACTAACGGAATACTGGCACCGCCGGCGGAAGCAGGAGAAACGCCAGCACCAGGAGCCAGAGCACGACCTGCCGGAGTAAGAGCACGAGCTGCCGCGGCAGCCTCTGCGCCCTCATCTATCGCTTCGGATATGAACCTTATGCAGTCATAAAAAACACACATGATATCCTGCTGTCGTGTATCCTTGAGATAATACGTCTTGTAAGTCAGGAGCGATGCGAAGACGTTAGGGCAAATGTCACCGATCGTGTTGACCACGTGCGTAATACCGGCCCTCTTCAAACACTGTAGACACAGCAAACCTAAGAACGACAGGCGCCAGTGTTGCTGCTGCTGCTACTTACCTCTGCTGTGGCGGGGAAGCAGACCGCCTGGCCCAGCAACACTGCTCGCTCTGCTGCTAGGTACAAAACTACCGCTCGGGTAGCTTTTGTGCAAAGGTTGATTACCTCTAAGTCGCAAGCAGCAGCAGCTCCTGAGACGAATAGGCGGCCTTCATATACATCGCTAATGACGCGTCTGAAGTTGACGAGCTGTTGCTGCCGTGTGCGGCTGTACAGACCCATGCCCTCCTAATGTGAGACACAAATAACCCACACACAGGCTCACACAGTTTCGGTCGCCGTCCCCTGCTGCGCTGAGTGCTGCTGCAGTAGTTACCAGAGAGTCACGCAAAATTGCAGGTTCGACGTCCACCTCCTCGGCTGATGCCTGGGAAAGCAGCCTGTAGTCGGGTGCGTTGCTGCTAGTTGCGGTGCTGGAATTGCTGCACTTCCTATAACTGTTTCTACTATTGGCACTGTTTGCGCCGGTGCCGCTGCACACCTCTTCCGTACGTCTCCTCCGAGAACCGAAGCTCTCCCTTAACGACCCTGCGTTGCTACCGCCGCCGCTGTAACACTGCAGACCCCCTGGAGAGGCAGCAGGAGGGCTGAGAAGCCCCGAAGTGTGCCGGCCGCCTGGTGACCCTGATGGGACACCTGAAAGGCGGGCACCTGCCGGGACAGTCTGCTGCTGGTGCGAGGGCTGGTGCTTCAGCGAGGAAGCAGCGGCAGCTGGCTCTCGGGAGGAGGGCAAATCGCCCCTTCCACTTGTTGCTTGATTAAAGGCAAAGGCAGCAGATGGCCTGCGGCTATTCTCTGCCTCTTTCTGTAAGAACAACGGCGAGAGGCCTTCGCAGCTCCCTGTTTGGGGGCTCAAGCGAACCCCAGCTGCTTCAGCAGCTGCAGTTGCTGCTGGGGAACATGGAGACTGCCCCCCACCTCCCCCCAGTTTCGGTATGGCTAGCTTGGGGACGCCCTGTAAGCGGAGACCCCCTTGGGGTCGGAGGGGCCCGCTCGGGGCCCTCTGTTGCTGTTGCCCTCTTCCTTGCCCTTCCACAGGTGACATTTCGCCCGAGGACGAGACTGGGGAAACAGAGACAGACGAAGACAAAGAGCTGTTCTCGCTGCCAGCGAAGTCCACAGGAGAACGCCGGGAGCCTCCTCTGCTCGGCAGGGCTCTGTTTGAGCTGCTACCGCTGAGAGCTGGGGGCTCCTCCCCTTCAGCGCTGCTCCCTTGCGGTTGCAACTGGAGGCGAGGCAGGATCTTGCTATGAAGGGCCAGGCGGGGCACGAAAGGCGCAGTGTGCACGGAGCGGTCCTCCTGTTGCTGCTGCTGCTCCAGCGTATTTTGCTGTTTCTCCCGTTGCTGCCGCTGCATTTGTTCCTCTTGAACGGCTCTTTGAGGAGAAGCCACAACAGCCTCCACTTCGCTATGCGGAGCCGTGGTTACCACGGCTGCTGTTGCTGCGGAGGTTGTTGCTGGGGTTGCTCCTGCTATCTCTGGTGCCACTGGCAGCTCAGAAGCTGGAGCAACACTCCGAGACACGGCTGGAATGGATGGGGTAGCCCCATATGCCAATCTGGGCAACCTCAGCAGCAGCCGAAGCAGCAGCACATTTCGCTCCAGCAAGGAACCACCATCCAGGACGACCGGCTGTTTCCCCTGTAGGTTCCCAGAGGCATCTCCTCCCTCCAAAACTTCTACCGCAGGCCAACAGCGGGGACCCTCCTGCTGCGGGCGTAGAAAAGCAAAGGAAGCCCAAGGCAACAACGTCGCAGGAGAGATGGGGACCCCCCTTTGCTCGCAGCTCTCCAGAGCCTCCACGAGACGGAGCGTGCGTAGTCGCGCGTGATCCTGTAGCAGCCGTAGCAGCAGCAACAAACAATACGCAGGAGCAGCATCTGAACCATCGAAAGTCACAACAGTTTTAGCTCTAGGGCAAGTTTGCACCCTTCTGAAGAAAAGCAGAATGCCAGACGCCTGTTTCTGGCAGTAAGCTCACCAAAATGTAACGAGGGGCCTCCACTCCTTCCCAAAGGTACACGGCCCACAGGTGTTGCCGTTGCAGCTGCTGTTGCTCTCTCTGTTGTTGTTGTTCTCCCGAGTGACTCCCTGGCTGTATACAGGGAAGTTCCTGGATTTCCTGGCTTTCAGTGCTGCTTCTACTCCTGTCTCTGCTCCTGAGCTGCTGCTGCTGCTGCTGCTGTTGTTGCTTGCTTTGCGAGCAGCAACCGCAAAAGTGCACAGCATGCCAGACACTGTGGCGGCGAGTATCTGCCGCAATACGAGTTTCTGCTTGAGTCAGAAGATGCGCTAAATCTTCACTCAGCAACTCTGCAGCCGCTCTGAAGCTATTGCTACCGCTGTTGCTGGGGTCCCAGTATGCCTTCTCCGTTGTAGAGGGAGTGTGCGCCATTGCCCCGGTCGGGCTGTGTGCCCTTGGAGGGGTGATGCTTCCTCTCCTGTCCGCAGGCCCTTCAGGAGTGTGGCTCTCACTATGTTGCTGTTCTTGCTGCTGTTGCTGGTCTGCAGTGTATGCGTGGATGACCAAGTAACAACTGGAGGGGTCCGGCTGAGGGACCCCCGCGCCGACTACCCGCCTCCATGAGCTCCTATCTGGGCCCCCAACTCCTCTTCGTGGAGTGCTCCCTCCTGGAGGTGTGCTTCTGTGTATGTTCGTGTTGCTGCTGCCGCTGCAGGGTCGCGTGAACCCCTTTTCAGACGCATCCCGACCGCCGGGGACCCCTTTCTTGGGACCCCCTAGGGGCAAGAGGGACTCGCAACAACCACACCTCCCTGGGGCCCCTATACGGCTCATGCGCCAGGCTAGAAGCAACTGGCGGTGCTCTAGCAAACAGCCTGAGGAGCTGCTGAAACAAGAGAAGGACACCGGAGCCTCCACTTCCTGGTTGCTGCCATCCCACACATGCAGCGCGTGGATGACAGCATCGAGAGTTCTGTCTCCATCTTGTGTCAGCCACAAACTCATGTGGGGCTTCCGTTTCACAGAGGAAGCAGGCACGGGCAAAGAGGGGCCTTCGTCCCTCTTCTCCGAGGGCCCCACGGACCCAGCGACGGAACAGAGCCCCGGAGGGGCCTTCTCGAACTGGACTGTGCTGCCCACCCCTCCCATTCTCAGTTGCGGAGAGCTTCTGCTCCAGAACCGACTGTTAAGAGGCCCCTCCGTGGGTGTGGGGGGACAATGTGCTCCTGACGACCCTAAAGCCCCCTACTAGCCATGACGACTGCAGCGGTAGGAGCCACGATAGGCTCTGGGGATCCCACTGTAGCCAGGCAAAGAAAGGCCTGGGAGGGACACGTGTGCAGGCTATCTTGCCCAAATAGGGGCCCTTTGCTTCGAAGAATAGCACTGCGGGCCCCCAAAACCAGCCCGAACGCTCTCCGCTCCAACACCACCGGTGGGTAGGATCCCTTGCTGCGGTGTCCGCCGCCTCAGGCAGACAGCAACAGTAGAAAGGTGTCTGAACCGGAGTAGGTAGTCCACTAGTGTAATGTGAAGGACCCCGCGAATGCAGATGCCTTGCTGCTGCAGTCACGCAGTTGTGTCGCAACAGCGGGATGGGTGGTGAGGGCTGGCGGGGAGGAACGTCACTTCTGCTCTATTCAGGCACTGAAAATAGTGTAAAATAAACAAGGTCAAGGGCAGTCAAGGGCAGGAAGTGCAAAGGACTGCGGCTGCTGCTGCTGCACTGCCCCTGCTGCAGCAGGAGGCGCGACCCGGCTGCTGCAGGCGTTTTGTATGAGTACCCTGCAGCGAAGCCCGTCGTTGCTTGCTGCTATTGTCTTGAGGCTTTGGCCCCATAAGAAGTATTCAAAAGCCGCTTATGGAGTGCATGCAGTCCTTTTAGTGTACAGACAGCGAGAAGGGGAGCCCCGCGTGAACTGTAGCTGTTCCTGCTGCGGCTGCCGCCGCCGTGGGGCCTGCTGCCATTTTGCCTCTCCCTCCAGGCCCAGTTGAGAAGGTCTAACCACTCTTCTTTGTATTTACATAATAATAACGATTTGACCCTATTCGAATGGGATGGTATGAGCCTTGAAATGCCACTCCTTTATGCAGACGCACATGCACTGCCGAAGGCTGGCTCCAGAGCCCAGACCAGGCCGCCGTTGAGGCCCCAGACCGTCAGTACGCACAACGGGCCCCAGAAGATACATGTCCTCCTTGTGATGAGTCTCCTTCTTGTTAAATATCCTTAATACGCATTGTTTCTTCCACAATTTCCCATTGGGCCATCTGCGCTGTGCGGTCAGTACGGGCCTCGCGACCGCCGTGCCCTCTGAGGCGGGCGGCAGACCGGGGGCCCCTGGAGGTCCCACCCTCACCAATGCATGCGCTTTCCAGAAGGGGACTCATTTGACATGAAGCATGCATTGTCTTAATTCGTACTAAGCTTAATTTTGCGCTCTTTGGGCTGCCCGAAAGGCCCTGCATGGACTCCTGGTGGTCGTGGGCCAAAGGAGCTGTTGAATGCTCCTTCGCCGCTTCAGACCCGCCTCTTCTCTTGCCACACAAAGTTTTAGTGGCCCCAGCTTCTTCAGTCCTCAAATACATAGCCTGAAGAGTAGCTGGAGTTGTACGGGTTCCCCCGTGCGCCGCAGAAAAAGGTGACTTTAGGCGTCGGCCATGCAGCAGCAGGAGCAACAGCAGCAGCACCAGCAACAGCCATAACACCGGCAGAAGCTCACGACAGTTTCATCCGGCGATGCTGGCATATGGGGCTTCCTTGGAGGAGATTCCTCCGGTTAAGGAGGTAATCCTGGAAGTGCGGATGGCCCACATGGAATTCAATGCCGAGGCCGTCGCCCGCCTTGAGAACAAGAGCAAAGTAAGCTAGGATACACGCTGATTTGTTTTGGTTTATGAAGAGCAGTAATATAGACGGAAACTTCCCTCAGGTCATGTGGCTAGCCCTATGTGCCTAGGAAGAACGAGCACGAGACCGGGAACCTGGACCAGCGGCAACGGATGCTAGGGCTGCTGCTGCTCGATGCATGAGCCGCTGAGATATTTACACTGACACAAAAATTGGCAATAGGGTCAGAGATATGTAGAGCAGCGGCAGGCACACCTGGGTGCCTCCGTAAAGGCACGCTTGCACGCTGTGAATTCCTTTCTTACCGCAGCTCTCCATTGCCGTCATGTACAAGGGGGAGGACCTGGCTCAGGCCTGCAGTGATGGTCGGCGTGTTTCCTACAAGATGTTTAGGAAAAAGATAGACGACACCTCGGTGGGTGCATGCATTACCTGTACTGTTGCAGTCTTCCTGCTGTTGATGCAGAAAGCGTCACCCGCCCGCTGCAACCGAAAAGCTAGCCAGCGAAATGCATCTGGGGGGTGCCCTCCCGTCGCCGTTTTTGCTACAAAATAAATAGAATTTTTCGATGTGCTTGCATGCAGGTCACTCTAACTCTCAACAGCACCTTCCAGCTTCCTTTCAGCTCTGCTTTTCCCATGGCCACCCCAAGTCTGGAGCTCTATGTGATGATGGTGTGCTCTTCTCGTCTTTTTATCTTAAAATCAGAGCTTTTGCCCCTTCCCTACTCGTGCTACCATCCCTATTGTTTCGTCAAGGTGTCTGTCTCTCGGGCGCTTTGTTGGCGGGCCATGCCTATCTCCGCCTGCTATTTCTATGTGCTCAGGAGAATTTATCTGATCTCCGTAAGTGTGTTGCGAGTGCAAGGATCTCTCTGGGGAGGCGCTGCAGAAGTCTTTCCTGGCTTCTACGGACAAACAGTTACAGCCTATACTTAGGCACTAATTCGGCACGAGAAGCAGGTGGGCTTTGTTGAGCTTCCATCGCATGAACAGGGCATGAAATGGGGCTGCGTAAAGCGCGGCGGAACGGCAACGCATATGCGCTTCGCAGAGGACCTCTCAGTGTCCCTCACACTGTAAACTTTGCTATCTCATGCATGCTTCAAAGCGGAAGCGACGTGTGGAGGCCATGCATATACTTCTGCGAGGCCTCGCAGGCACTGTCCTCATGAATGTGGGCCTCTGTCACACGGTCGTCCGAACCAAGAGCTTTAGCTTCTACTGGAACCAAGAACTGCGCCTGGGTATAAAAGAACCCAAACACGTTCGGTATGTTTTCCAACAACAAAGTTTTCCGTGGAAAGCGTCCAATTTCTGACTTTGGTTTAATGGTAGGAATGGCCACTATCGAGCGCACTGCACCATTAGGAAGCCTTGAAACACTCGGAACGCTTTCGGCGTTAGCCTGCAGCAGGGACTCTGGCTTTTATTAAGTGGTATAATTGCGATTTTATGCTTAATATCCGCTCAGACAACTGCCAGATCTACTACCGAGTACTGAGGTGGATGCCCGAGCCACGCTTGCCATCTTAAGGCGAACGCGAAAGAGCCTCGTGGAGCAACGAATTTCCGCCGTTTCGGTTGTACGTTCTCATTCTGTTAGTGGCTTCACTTAGCAGTCACAGAGCTCTTGTCTCGTCACAGGGTTTTGTGTCTCGCTGGCACTGCTGCAAGAACTTGGCTTGAGAAGCTGCGTTGACGTTGTGGCATTTGCAGCCAATATCAGGAGAGCCGGAGTTCGATCTCAAGGGCCTCACTTCTCACATTGACGAACTCCTTGTTCAGATGGAGCGAGACGGTGTTGTTGTGGTCCCCATGATTACGAGGTTGAAGGCAGGTTAGTGAGTGATTGAATAACTTTTGGGGCAATCCTGACAGTGGGTTTTTTCCCCCTAGACGACATGCACATGGGGTTGTTTTTTTGGGAAGTAGACTTGTTCCATTCCGCAAGCAACGCGATGAGGTGTTGGTGGATTGATGCCCTATGGCCTGTCGCAGGGGACTGCTCTGCCGGGCGTTTCACTTCCTTTTTCTTGGATAGCCATCCCTACCGTATCCTTTCGACCACCCCTATCCCTTTTTTTAGCCCTGACACGGTTGTCAGGGCGATGGATGGTTGCATATGTGAACGGACAAGCACACACGGTGAGCTCCGCTTGCCCCATACGTCAGTGAGTCTTCAGATCGTTTTTAGGCGCGCGTGCTGTGTGCTTGCCCACCTCTTCATTCGTCTTTCGACAAATGCCAATGCAGGATTTTTGGGATGGGACCGATGCGCCACGAATACTTTCGATTATCTCTTGGACAGAGCAGCCCTTACGGGTATCCCAGCCTCCGTGAAGTCGGGCATCTGTCTGGTACGGATACGATCCTGGCTGGTGTCACTTTCCATGCTATTTGTCCGCAGCAGAGACACTCATTTCGTGAGCAGCAGATGAATTGAGATCTGATGACCGTTCTTTTGCATACAACTGTTCGCATTTCGCTCTACGCGTTCCTTCTGCAATCAGGCAGCGGCCACCCGATTGCACAAGTGCATCCTCAACACCTGCCAAGCCGTATGCTGCGCGTCGACCTACTCCTTTTATGCAGCTCAGTATGCAGTACAGATTTTGGAAGAGGTGGTCTTCGAGCCCACTGCCGACTCCCTGCTCATTGTAAACTGCCATGGCCCTGCCGCAACGAGTTAAATAGGTCCACCGTAGCGTAGGCGCTACAGAAGAGCTTTTTTGGGGGGATGTAAAAGGGCTATCAATGTTTTGCCTGCAGTAGCAGCCCGTGAGCCCGCATTCTGCATCTGGTATTTATGCATCCTCATGCTTGCAGGGATCTCTGCCGTTCGACAGGACCCAAGACGACAATCAGGCGCAAGAAAAGGAGCAACAGCACAGTGAAGGCAGTAGCGAGCGTAGCTTTTCAAAGGATAAACTCGAAGAAAAGCCACGCCTACCTTCCGTGAAGCATTCACACCTTAACGAGATCCGGAGCAGCTTGGACAAATGGAGAGAACGCTGTCATTTCCGGAGACTCCCATCAGAACATCCCCTTCGCATATTTGCCCTGTTCAAACGCGATCAAGTCAGCTTCCGTGCTTACGCCTGCATTAGGCCGTGCCCTGAAAGGTAGAAAGTTCCGAATCTGCGTAACGGGCTCATGGGAGGCCATTTGATGCCAAGATGAATGGTGCTCCGGGACTGGGCAACGTGCTGGTAGAAGGCTATGTGAAAGTTCGGTACACGGATGGCTACAGGCTACTGTTGCTGCAACTGTGGTATCTGCAGCTGTTTGTGAGCGAGCAAGCCATTGGTCGATCCCGCTCAGGACTTCTGTTGGCGGTTCTCGTTTTGGGAGATGAAAAGGTGGATATGGAAGAAGCAAGCAAGTTCGTTTTCACGCGCAGCCCCAGGGACGCTGGCGATCAAGGCGCAGCCAACCGTTGGCTGGTCTATACTAAGCTTACCTGTCCGTTGTATTCTGCTGCGCATATTTGCTCGCAGGGTTTACGGTGTAGAGATTCAGGCGCAGCGGACGATGAACGACGCAATTGTCGAATTAAAGAGGCAATCCGCCGAAGGCACTGTAAATGGAGCGCTGTTGCTTCTGCCTGCTAAAGGAGAAGGAGTTTGTTACATCCATTAGGCCACACCCCTTTAGCAGCAAAACATGGTATGACAGGCAAGCATCATATGTGTATTTAATGGTTGCAGGCTGAAGGGTCCAAGAACCTAAGACTGACGAGCTTAACTCCCGTGCTTATGACCGGTGAGCCTCAACGCTTTTCCCGACGCAGCTCTCTGTTCCCCCCAAATCGGCACTATTGGGATAGAGCGTGGTTGGCTTTTCAAGTATTCATGCACACCATCCTCCTCCGGGTCCACCGGCTCGCAACGCGAAGGAAATACATGTTTTTCCTTGTACGTGCGTTTTTTCCATTCAGCCGTGGACTATAAGGGCTTCCGAGTCGTTGTAATTCCGTTGCCTGAGTCCGTACCAGAAGTCATTGCATGGCCTCAGCCCCTATCAGCTCGTGTTCGCCACGTGAGTCACTAAATGTGCTCGAGATTTTGTAATAGCATTGAATCCCACTGGCTTTTGTGCCGGCACAGGCTTGCCTCAAAGTAACAGAGCATGGGGGCACGTCGGCATCTCTGTTCTGCAGGAAATCTCCTTTATCGAGAACAAGCTCAACGTTTGCAATTTGTTGAAGCCTATTTCACCTCAAAACCCTCCTCGTGACACGACACTTCTTTTGTCAGTCAAAAACAGAGGCATTGACATGATGATGCTCTACCGAGTAAGTCTGAACAGTCCTTCCGGGCTGCATTCCTTCCTGAGTTCGCACAGGATCCCTACGTCTTTGGCCTGCTCTCGCTGTCACAGACATGCTACGCACTGCCACTTTTTTCTGGGAAGGAAGCAAAAGGCTCTCTTCCATCTATCTCCCAGCGCCTCCGATCTGTTCCCTTTGAATATTCCGCTGACATGGAAATGGCCTTGAAGAATTGTCAACAAATTTCCCAACAGGCATCAGTTAAGGTCAGCTGGACTGACTGAAGGTATTTAGTGTTACCCGAGGCTGTGCGTAGATATCTAAAGCAAAATACAGCAAGAACATCTTCGCCTTGGTTTATTTTTAGTACGCCCGCTTCTGCCTCGCCCTGACATGCTTTTGCCGCACCCTTGGGTTTCTTCGCCATGCAGCCGACTGTTCCCGGCCAAGCTTATCAGGATGCGATTGTTCGTTCGCCCTTTAGTCGCTTGTACGCCCCTATGGACGAACTGTAAGACTTCCATGCTGTTTGAGATGTGGCCCAAGAAATGCCACCGATCGCTTGGATCCATATATTCTGGAGTGAAACCCGCCTCAGGTTTGGGCTAAGAATGTGCATGCATTTGCTCCTGATGCAGCGTTCACTTTATTACCCACTCGTACAGCCGCTCTTACAGAGGCAACGTCGAGCCTGTCGCCTGCGGAAGTGGGCTCCCTGGGAGGAAGGCCCAGCGTCTGGGGACACTTGTCAAGTCGGTCATCCTCGACGAGTAGGTCGCTGGCTCTTGCGCCATACGTTCACGTTTTTGAGAAGCAATTCACTAGTGCTGGGTCTAGTTCATATCAAACCGCACTAACTACACAGTGGCGTGTTCTGGGGGCGCTTGTTGCAGTGCGATTGCTGAATTGGAACGAATGGACCCTTACGGCCCATACGACTCAATATCCTTGACGAGCTACCTTCACCGACGCGGCATTAACATTCGCCTTTTGGGTGCGCTGGAGGACAACACGCCAGTTGCCTGATTCAAGTTTTCGAAATGCAGTTGGCCAGTTTACTTCCGGGCCTGGGGAGCACAGTGGTGTGGTGTGGTGTGACCGTTTGTTGCTGTGCGTATTCATCTACTTATGTGTTTTTTCTAAGGCACAATGTGTAAACGGACACGAAGTCCGTGGCTCCAGCATATGCTTCTCGTGGAAGTCGTCGGCAAGTCAACTTCTTTGATGCCCAAATTAGTGGTTGGCTGAGAGGCCCAAGCACCTGCATCTGGAGCGTATAGTGAAGGTGTAATCTGCTTGTGTATTTTATCTGTGCTTATGTGTATGTGTGGGCGTTTGTGACTGTTTTCTTGTAGCGCGAACTCTAAAACAGCTGCTGAAAGGAGTGTTCCGCCGACTGGTGTTTTGCACAAATCTGGAACTCCAGGCCTCTGGGACGACGAAAGTTTCCGGTGACTATACTGCTGTGTGTTTAAACTTAAGCGTGCATCTATTTACTAAACGCATAGGAAAGGACATTGCGGGGGAGCTCCTGCTCAGTTTTAACTGAATTTGTTTTATTTCGTTAATGCAGAAGCAATAGGCACTCTACTGCGGGTGGGGAGCCGCGAGGGAGAAGGCGTATATAAGGTAACTGTCTCAAATTAAGTCATGGATATATGGATGCTTGCGCCAATGATAATGTAGCTTGTTTCAACAGTGCCTCAAAATTAAGTCATGGATACACGGATGCTTGCGCCAATGATAATGTAGCTCATCTCAACAGTCACAGCTAATCACTATGTTGGCAGCAGTTTTGGCACTGCTACTCGAGTGCTACTGTGTTGCAGGCAGCCAGTGACGACGATGGAGAGAGTGTGGCTAACAGTGACGACTCGTACTATGAAGGTTTGGTTAGGGGGCAAGGTGAGCTCCTGTTCAGCTTAAGTTGATTCGCTAACCTGAGTGCACGTGACTTCTCCGCTCCACCGGAGTCGATCGGGCTTTTTTTCTCAGTGATATGCTGTCTTTCGTTTACTATATTTGTGTTCTTTGCAGACGGAAGGGTAAGGTACACCAAGGAGTCGCTGCTGAGAGAGAAGTTTCTGCAGCTCCCACTTTCTGTTGCCGCTCGCTTGCTGGATGACTCCCCCTACTTGTTAGACTTGACGAGGCATAAATTTCGCGTCTTCTTTTGGTAAACACCTCGGTCATGTAGCTGCATTAAGACTGAATGGCCAACACTGCCAACGCAGCGCTGCAATCGCGGCGCCGGGCTGTAAGACGTTCCATCCTGGAGGGTGTATCACATTCCACCAAACTTGGCAACGCGTTGTTATTCGCGTCCCACTGTGTACTTCAGGACGGATCTTGTGGCTCTGAACTTGTTTAACGTGGCCCTTGGATCCTGCATGGAGTCTCATGAATTCTGGAGAAACTTTCTAAGCCGCAGGTGCAGCATGCTCCCTCTACTAGGCCGTACAGTTTTCCCGTCTCCGCACTCTGCAGCTAGTAGCTGGACAGACGTCACAATGTGTTGAACTCCCAGTATTGTTGACATCATGCCCGACTGCCGCTACTGTGTACCAGGTGTTCTGAGCTATTTGATGTTGAGGCGTCGATGGTGCGGCGACATAGAATTTACCTGCCAGCCCTGTACATATCGCTGCAGGTATGTCAGGTCCCTCCCAAAGTTCAGGGGCCAACATGAGTAACCCTGATTTGAGGTGCCTCCACTGGACGAATCCCGCCTGTCGCGATGATGGTTTCTGAAATGCTGTTACTGCAGCACCACTGCGGCATTAGCTTCTTTCCTTGCGCGGCCACTCTTGGAAGGATGCTGGACAAACCATTTCCCCTCATGCCTTCTCACATTCGAGTGAGTTATGGAGGCCTACAGATTATTCATGAGCGGCATGAGGATCCAAGGAAGCTGGCGAATGCAACGAGTAGTACAGAGGCAGCTAGTTTTTTGGGGACTATTCACTTAATTATGGGTGCGCTGATGCCTGCAGAGTTGGATGCCGAAGCTTTCGCGCTCTGTCACCGTTCCTAGCTCTCTTCCACTCCTATCCCTTGTTCGAGATCCATCAAGGCTGCCACTAGCTAATCCATCATGCTCAACTGTCATTCAAAGCCCTTCTCCAGCCCAGACCGTCGTGTCACGGCTAATCGGTCATGTAGTATTCCAGTGCAGTAGCCCTTTGTGGCACACGCGAGCGGAAATCAGGAAGGGCCTGAGCGCATGCACTGTTGCCTCGATGTACAGCACCACCCAGGGCCATCCTCTGCTGATTGCACAGGCAAGCATTCAGTTACCCTCGTCCCGCCTCTTCATGGGGGAAAGCTGGTTTATTTCTTCCTACTGCGCCGACCGTATTTTCAGTGGAAAATCAGTGCGTTGATGTGTCCGCAATGACAACAGGATTCTTGGGATGCAGAGGAGGCAACTGTGGAGCTCGTGGGCGTTGCTCTGAGGTAACACCACCAACCCCTTGCAAAATAATTGTTCCACTGGCAATCTTGGAAGGCGTTTGGGACTAACATCTGCTCCCTTATCTCGGACTGCATGCGCACGCAGATATGAGGCTTGGGACGTCGGCCTCTTGCTGGCTCAACGTTGTATCCTGCAGTACCCTGAGGCCCATGCAGCATCTGTAAGGATCCCTTCCACTGCCCATCCCATTTCATTCTGCAACTCTTCTTTTTGGTTATAAAATGAGCAACCTTCCTCAGATATTTGACTCATTTGGACGAATAGGAAGTGCGCAGCATGCGCCCATGCCTTTTCAGCTTGGGCGAATACTCCGGGTACTTTTATATTCTAGTTTGATGTAACGGGGCGCTGACTGCCTGCTGAAGCTTTTGGTTTTAGGTACCGGCCCGTCTGCTGCTTCTTCTGGCAGCGACCCATGGCTCGGAGAAGCCCCCTCCTAGCTCCCAGCTTGCAGCCACTACCTACCGGATTCAGCGTTTACTTTTATACCACTGGGGAGGCCACCATCCAGCCGCTCTAGACGTGACTGTTGCACAAGCTTGGTAGGCCAACCCTCAAAATATATTGGAAAGGATATCTGTGCTGCAATCGTAAACATTACGACATTACCACAAACCTGGCTTTAGTTTGCACTGTGAGCTTTCCTCTGTCGCACTCGTAGTATGACTTTCACCAGTGTAGCTGGTGGAGAACTGAGGCAAGAATGGTTCGGTATTACATTTGTTTTGTCGTACCTCCAGGCTGTCATATCTTGGGCGCGACTGGCGGGAGTGCATATCCGGGCTGCAAGCTGCGGTGTCGCTGAGTGCAGCTCTCTCTGTTTCTCAAAACTCCGAGGACGTAAGTACCATGCTCACACCGATGGTTAATATCTCATTAGAGGTGCGAAGGCCACACGCTTGATGGTGTTTGTGCTCACTACGACCTTCCTTTGTTTGGTGCTTTGCTGTGGCGGGGATGCGCAGCTCACGAGCCTTAAGCTGCTCCTTGCCGTGATTGCAACAGATGAAGCTTCCAAAGTAAGCGGTCATGCGCACTTGCGCAGTTTAATGCAGATCTATCGCTCGCTGCGTAGACAATTCCTGCACCAGAGAGCTGGTTCTGTCCCCGTGCTTTGTCCGAAGGTCCCGGCTGGGATACCGCCGGCGCCGATCAATCCAAAAATGGCCGGCCTCCTCAGGATGCTTGCGCAGTGCAAGCTTGTTCTCGCTTTTGGCCGCCGCAGCGCACTACGTAGGGTCCGTAGTAAGAGCATTACAAGGGGCATTAGCCACTGTGCTTGTCTTGCTAACCGTTCGACTCTTCCTCGGCTTCCAGCTAAAGTTCCAGAGTACAATATTTATGGAGAGGTCCGCTTCTGCTACAGGACTTGGTAACGGAGGAGCAGAAAGCTCTGATGGCGAATGGCGCATGTTTGATGCTGCAGTGGGCTTTGGATGCCTACGATTTTCATTTTGTAGGATTTCCCCTTTTTCCAAAGCAATACTCTCAGAGTCGTCAGCTGACTCTTCGGTCTCTTGCCGATCCGGCACGTGTGATTTTTGCAGCAGTTAGTTCATTGTTTCTGTTTTTGAAGGGAACCAGGCATGTGTTGACGATGACAGCGGCGCGAGAGTTCTCGTTGTCGTTGTTGTTACTCATTGAATCAAGAAAAAACGACGCTGGCGGCACCATTTTGCAAAGAGGAGTAGAAATTGCGACCAAAACTTTGCAGGTATGTTACCCATTGGCCATATTCGTTCCGCGTGCACTTTTTCGCCAGTTTGGTGAGCCGACTCCAATGTAGTATAAGAGCTTGATTGTGCCTTTGCACATTCAAGGATACAAATATGCATTGCTTTGCTTTGCCTGTTTCGATCAGTGGCAGACCATTATCCTCGGGAAGAGCCACTTAGAAACGCTAGCGACAGGTATTCTATGAGGTTTCTTTCAACCCCTGTAGGGCCAGAACTCACTTACAAGGCTCTTGGCTAGCAGGATATGCATGAAGTGACTGAGAAGGACGAAAAAACTCTTACGCGACATGATGTCCTTATTCTCTTACAGGGCAGCTGCTTGCCGTCCTATTGGCAAACCAGGGCCGATACCGCCGTTGCATTGCTATGTACGAGGCTGTAATTCGCAACGCATTTAGCAGGTATGTGCAGCATTGGGAGGATAGCAGAGTCCTGCTCAATAAGGAGAGTTGGAACTACCAAAGCATGCTTGCGTGGTGCTGAGTTGATCTGCAGGTTAACTCACAAGCCCTCTTTGCGTCGCTACAGACCTGATAACGAATTTTCAAGGTAATGCATGGCCTCATCTCGCATTGTCAGCCAGAGGAGTACCAACATTGTGCTGCACACTTAGAAAAGTTCCCATCCACGGAAGGCCTATTTGGCATCTTCTCTGTCTCAAACCTCTTCCTGTGCTAGTTCTACGCCTTAAACTGTCGTCTGCAGAGTCTGTTGGTGCCTTCCTGACCCCTATTTTTACGGCATTTTTGAGACGATACGACCAATAAACAGGTTTTTTTCAAAAGTCAAGTTTGTTTTGCCCAGCCTGGATGACGAGCAGGGCTTAGTATCACTAAACCAAAGAAGTGTGCCCACGCGTGGAAATGCAAACCGTCGAAAGCACTCGCACGACAATTCAGAGCGAAAGCGTTGACTCTACCCGTTTCCATCTGCTATCATCTTCCACAGTCTACGTATTCCTCCGGTCTGTCTAATGTATGCCGCCTGTTGCAACAGAGACTCCATTAAACCATATTAAGGCACCCCATGTCTCGGCATCAAGCGTCAATGAAGCTAAACAGGGAACAGGGGAAGAGAAACATGACGCTGCATCTGCTACTACGCAAAAGGATGTTTCAAAAGCAAACATGATCCAGCTGGACCCTACAGATCATCCTATATTTCGTAAGCTTGATATAGCGGCTAGTACCTCGGAAATGGGGAGATTGTAGTTCACGATAGTGATGTCCAAGTAGGGCTTCATACCCATCAGAGGATCGAATGCGGCTAGCTATAAACACATTCATTCTCATTAGTGCTAGCAGAGCAGCTACTGTGGTGTTTCTAATTTGTGTGTCGTGCTATGCAGCCTCTATGCAATCCAAAGCTGCGAGCGACATGGTCAGTCCTGTCATCTCGGACTTGGTAAGCGACATGTTCGTGGTATACATCAACTTCGCGGCGGATCCGAAACTCGTTTCCAGGCTAGTTTCTCTCTTTCTCCTGCTTGACTACCTTGAAAAGCAAAGTATGCTTCTTCTAAGCGCAACGCCATTTGAAACCATGCGACCCACGGCCTTTACAGCTTGAAAATATGCGGAGCAATGCAGTAGGTGCATTGGACAAAATTTGGCGGACTCGCTGTGAATTCATCTTTGGCAGTTAACCCATCTACGTCCGATGCTTTTCAGGCTTCAAAAATGTTTCCTACGACGTATTCCAAATCGCCTGCACAAAGTCCGGGGGCGATATAACCTCACATTCGTTTCTTACATGGCTGTTGGACCTTTCCGGCACGTGAGGCTTCTTCCTCTTTCTCAGCTACTTTTTTTAAAGTATTTCAACATGTTGCACCTCCCAAACCCGGCGTAGCGATAGCTCGAGCAGCATGTGCCCAGTCAAACACGGATTTCTCCAAGTGGCTCTTCGGTTGTCTTTTGACTTTTTAAACAGGTCGGCCTTGCAGGTTATGGAGTACATTGAGCATTACCCCTTCCGAATCCCGAAAGAGGAGCTTTTCGACCAAGACAGTGACGTCATTTTCCTGCTGTGCCACCCAAGTAAGGTTAAACTTCGCGAGCGCACATGCTTTTTGAAACCGGCTTCAGCAAAGACACTGCTTGGAGCTCAAGACACGCTATTTATATGGTGCAGGGGGAAGAGACAACAAAGGAGCTGCTCACAGTGGCTGCATTATGGACCGCTACCTGGGGCACTTATTGGCAAAGTCGGAAGCAGAAGTTTCGAACGCATGCCAGCTCATCCTTTCAGGTCAGCAAAAGTCGTAGTTCTAACTTTGTAACGGCAAGCCAATCAAAATCGGTTCTTGGAGCGCCCACCGCAGTTGGAATGAAATTTGGAGTGACGATGGAAGCATAAACGGCGTATCCTGGGGGGCTGTGATTGCACTTCAGGGAACTCCAAAAGGCTATCCGAAGTAGCCCAGTCTTACTCGTTCCCCTTGGAAAAGCTCAACAGGGCAGTGTCCAGGCTGAGAGTAATACTGCTATTGCTAGGAAAGTACGAATCTGCCCTAACTATTTGTCCCCCATTGAAATGCAGCCCGCAGGCTGCCGAGTCAGTCCAATGGATAATCTATGCGCGGGTTTGAGACTTCAGGCTGAAGGGAAAAAGTTCCCAGAAGGAAAAAAGAGATGAACCAGATGTTGGCGACATCTTCAAAAGGTGAAGCAGGCTATGCACATGGCGAGGATTGCTTATCGTTACTGGAGACTTCCTGCTGGGACCCCTTGCAGTACAATGAAGCATTCCGCACATTTACGCGCATTCTCGTACCTGTTTCTGAGCTGTAGGAAATCAGTTGAGCACGGTCTCACAAGCCAACAGCTTGAGGAGACGGTTAAAATTGGCGGAAGCTTTTTTGAGCAACTGGCTGAAAATTCAAGTGAAGCATCAAGCCGAACTGAAATGCGGGTAAGTCCCCCCAAATCGAGAAAAGACGAAAAAGCAACTCTCCCCCAGGTCTAATATAAAAAGTGCTAGGATGCAGCATGCGCATTTCCTGCAGCGGCGATATCGTCATTTCTTGGCTCATGTTCGCACGACTCTCCGGCTGCCCACGAACCTCAGGTAGGCAGGCGATGTCAGATTTTTTCACCTTTGAAGGCACAACGTTGCTGTTATCCTAAAGCAAAGCTGAGCGCACTGCGCCTTTGACGTGAATACAGGTGTGAAGAGCTGGATATCCTGGCCAATCTTATGTACTACTTCCTTGACATCAGTACGTTCCAAACGTGGTGGGAAAATCGTTACAAAAGCGGCGCGGGTTCGGCGACCCAGCTTTTTCATGGGAAAAAAGTAGATCCCCTTGTGTCAGCATTTGAAGAATTTTAAGCAGTGTTCAAATATTTCCCCCCTGTTGAGCTTAACTCGCCAAATTCCACAGCGTAACAGTAAACTAGCCACTTGACGCTTCATGCACCGTAGGGAAGTGGGCATCCCGAAGAAGAGTCCGGGGCAAAGCGCTCACATCCCTTTGAGCGTGTGAACCGTATCTGAAGTGGAGCAGGCGTTTGGCTTGCAGTCAGTACTAGAGCGCGGGTCATCTACAAGCCACGGCATACCATTCTTGCTTGAAAGGTGGTTCGCCCACGTTCGGTTGCCCAGTGCAAAATAATGCGCTCCTGTTCCCTCATATCCCTCCCTAAATACGCAGTGCGACATAAACGGCTCAACCAACGCAGTTCCTTTCTGTATTATTGTCTTCGCTTTACATGGCGGCATACGCTATGCAATTCGTGTTCGGTTCACCTGCTCACAAAGGTTGCGAGCCTGACGAGTAGCTGTCTCATGCATGTCATATGCGCACAATACCCTCCTAGTGGTCAAAAGCCGTAACGCCGAGAGCTCTCCGAGGGTGCATCAAGAAGTACTGCGCGACTAGCTACGTGGCTGAAATAACGGGCAGTCAGCTAGTGGGAACTTTTCAAACGCCTCAAATAGAACCATAGGGATTCCCACAGGCGGCCGTTCAGATGCTACCTCGTCTTTCACAAAGCCTGGACTATTTTCCGCCACAAACTTTCCATAGTGGAAGGCGCCCTCAAGAGTGGAGCCTGAACTGGGATCAAAATAGCGCCCTTCCCCGTGGGGATGCCCAAACCGCCATTCACCTGAGTGCCTTGCGCCACTCCGGGTAATGCACTCCTGAAAGAGCAGGCACATGGAAACTGAAGAAACGCATACAGGCAACGAAGGTCTTAACTACCTTTGTCCAAGCGACCCCTCACGTCCTCCAGTTAGGCAAGCCATATTACGCCCTTCGGTTGTGCATCATCCAACTGCAAAGGGGCAATAGCTGCCGGTGGCCTGCCGCAAAACGCAAAGATGTTGCATGGTGCAAGCGAGGGCTCGCTAGGCATGGTTGCCTTACTCCGTTCCCATGACGCATGCCACTGATCCACTGGCCTTCGTACACCTCTCCGGTGTCCTTTCGCTTGCTTAGTCCCCATCCGTGAGGTACAATCCTTGCCGAACCTTCCGTCGGCACCACGTGCACGTCTTTACCAACGTCCCTGCCCGTATTACTGCCAATGGAGGGGAACTTTAGATTGCCTAAGTATTTGTCCCCCGTCGGGAAGGTGACACTCCACTCTGCGTCGGGGTCTGGCATGTCGTCTAACCACTGTCCATCCACGGTGATCGTCCCCTCTTCACCCTTCCCCTCACTCACACTCGCGCCCCTCACAACTCCCACAGGGATGGTCAACACTGCAGCTCCATGTCGCATGCCGTTTCGCCACTGACCATCATACAGACAAGAATCCCGGTACAGCATGCTGCCACATCCCTCTGGGAGCAGGGTCTCTGGCTGAGAGAAACACAAGAATGAACCCAACTCAATACACCAGCAGCAAACTATTGGGGGCGCCTTCCCTACAGCGTGTGAGGATTCTTGGGTGGGCAAATGGAGAATGTCTCAACAAACCGTTCTTCTATGACGAACTGGAGAAAACTAGACGGAATGAGTATGGCGTCGCATGGAAATACCTACAACGAACTGCAGCTAACATGCCCGACGGCTTCTTGAAAGCAGGTAACCTACTGAAAGCTCTCCTGTGTAAGTTCTCCCGTCAGCATATACCGCGTTAACGACACCCGTCACCTTCCCGCCTTCAAAACTGCCCCTTATAACGACGCCCTTTCGACACTCCCCAAAGGTCTGTTTTCCTTCGTCCCACGAGATTGACAGTTTACCCAGCCCTTCAAAACGGCCCCTTGCAAACTCTCCCTCATACTCGAGTCCTTCGCGCTGAACATATCGCCCCTGGTTCGCACAATATACAGCACCCCACCAAAGGCCCCGGACGGTGCTGGCACTGCCTGCTCACTGATGTTTTTAGCAGCCGCATAAAACTCTTAAACCAGCTGCTCCGCCATCAGGCGTCAAGCGAAATTCCCCATTACTGTAAACTAAGGGATGCTCAGTCGTTGAAACAGTGTGCGCCAGGCAGTTGCCTCACTCGTCCTTGGTACTTGTTGTCAAAGAATTGGCCCCAGTAGCGCTCTTTACGGGAGTATAAATGACCCTCCCCGCACTTCTTGTTGTGTTGCCACTGCCCCACGTATAAGTACCCTACAGACTCGTGGGCCAGCACCCCGTGTCCATGCCGCTCATCGCTAACCCATGAGCCGTCGTATCTGCCATTCAAGCACACCACAACATTCCAATGCAAGCACTAGGATAGAGTGGTGTGGATAAAGCACGTGCAAAACGTTTAGAGCGTTCCATACGCAACAGCGTGGGTCACAGCATTACCTCATGCCGTCGGCGGAACAGTATACACCATCCCCATGTCTCTGGGATGCCCAGAATTGGCCCTCGTAGCAGTCTCCATTGCTGTACAGATACTTGGCATACCCACTAGTGGGAGGGGGCTGCGAAGTCTCGTGCTTGGCCGAAGGGGCCCCTTCATTTGGCAGCCGGTGCTCAAGCAGCCACGCCTGCGGCTCACCATCACACGTCGGTGTTGTACCTTGCGGAGACGAAATGAGCTTCTGTTATGGTTGTGTCTGCTCACTGTGTTCAATAAATTACGAACCATGAGCAGCTGCTGTGCAAAAAGGGCAAGTTACTTGAAAGTTGTGCGTCTCTGACCATCCCCGGACCCACTCAACGCCAAATGCGCTGAGGCTTTCACCGTCTTCAGACGCTGTGGGAGACAGCTCCTGCAGCAGCAGCTGTCTCGAGCGCTCACGACCAGCCGCAACTGCTGCTCTCCTGCACAATAAGCGAAGCAACCGCCGATGCGCACTTAAAGCACAGCTGAGAAGAAACCACCACACCATGCGTGTCAGGCTTGTACACCAGCTGTCATTGGGTATTCCGCATAGTCTCTTGCCAAGGCAACAAAGTTTCGGCTCACACCTGCAAAGCTGCTCTAGGTGCTGAGCAAACGCTGCACGTATTAAGTCGGCGTGCGCCTCCCAATTCGGATCAAGGAAAGACGAAGGCCCCGTAGCGTCGCTGCTGCTCCTGCTTTCTGCCCGAAAACGGGTTGTGCCTGGGAGGACCCTCTGCCCCAAAGGCCGCTCCGCCGACTTCGCCGCAGCCACACCGGCCACTGACGGGGATATGACTTCCGTGTGGAATCCCTCGGCAGCAGAAGGGTTCCTCGACTTCTTGCCGATGGGGACGCCAGCAGTCGTATGAGTCTGGCGTTCGGCCTGCCGCTCCCACGTCCACCGAATCCGCCCACTTAGCCATCCCCCTCCACCACTGGTGGGAGGGGAATTGCTGGTCAAAGAATCCTCAGATGTGATGTAGCGCTGTTGCTGTTGGTGCAGTTGCCGCTTTGGATCGGTGTCCACGCCGCCCGAGTTGCCTGTCCGGGCTGTATTGCCTTCACGAGTTGTACCATGTAATTCCCGAGATGAGCTACTCTGACTCACTACAGCAGTGTTGTCATCATCTTGTCTTCGCCCTTCCGTTGCCTGACGCCTTGCAACCCCCGTGCGCACAGTCTGCTTTCCCCCGCCCAAGCTGCTGCTACTGTTGCTGCGGCGGCGGTTGTCTCTCGGAGATATAGCTGAGGCAGCCCTCCGTCTGTACTGCGGTAATTCCGCGCCCAACATGCCTGCCCCAGAAGAGTGGAGCCCATGCAGTTCGGAAGTTGTTCCTGGGGGCAGACGGAAGCAGCAGAAAACACGAGAGATTCCGCCAAATCAAAGGACTAAGTATGCTTTGCACTGAAACCCATAGTATTTTGACTTCTGCGGCCCACCGTCTTCCTTTGCCCTGCGAAAGTGAAGGCCGTGTGCTGCCGCGTGACTAGCAAGCGACGAGATCGTTTGCTGCAGCAGGTCTGTCGCATGCCTTGAGATGCTGGTGCTGCCCCCATAGCTAGGGCTCTGCCCTTCCGCGACTCCACTCGGGGAGGACGTTTCCATGACAATACGTCTTGCAAACTGCTGCTCCCAAGCCGTCAAGCACAACAGCGGCTCCAAAGATGCATTCTTCACCTCAACAGTTAACGCGTCGACGTTTACTGAAAAGCGAAAAGGCATATTCCAAGCTTCTCTAACTGCTGCCCCAGGTTCTTGGACCCTCGGAATTCTGGTGGCGCATAGGGGATATGGTAATCACTGCCACTGCAAGAAAGGCAACATCCGTGTAAACTTGCCTACAATGTCTGGCTTGGCCACTGGGTGAGTCAAGAGTGTCGGGTTGTTCGAAGAAATTAGGAACGCCCGTTTCTGCAGCAACAGGTCGTCCACGAGCTCCAAAGGCAAGATGGGGAAGAACGCTGAGCGCGCCTCAAAAACTCTGAATGGCAGCCCGTGACGTTTCCACCGGTACTCGTGCTCGCCAAAACCGTCGCTGGAAAACCCACATGCCAATCCCGCTGCAGAGTCAGTGCTCGCAAAAAAGGGCACAAGCACCCCATCGTAGGGGAGTTCGGCTTTTGCCAGGGCAACAGCATCGAGCGCTGCCGCCTTTACCAGATTCAATTCTCCCCTACGGCTGTCGCTCGACCCCCAAGGACGGCAGCACACAACGTCACCAACTCTGGAGTTGCTTCTTTTGCTAAGATCTGTAGTAGGACCCATCTGCCAGTCATCCACCCCAGCTCAAGGACAGTGTGGTGGGGGGCAAATGGAATGGCACTAACTGCTTGGGGAATAAGACAGTACCTGGAAGTAAAGAAATGAAGGAGAGGACGGCAGTGGAGGCCCTTGACGCGTCGCACGAGTAAAACAGAATTTTTTTCTCGAGCAGCAGAGCCTTGACAAGAACTAGGAGCTGCCCTGCGCCCCCATCACACGCCGCGGTACACTGGACAGATCGATCCATATTTCTGCTTTCCAAGTAACTCAGGCATGAAATCTGCCATGCAGCAGCTGTGGCAAGAAGCTGAATGATGCGGTTTGTCGTACGTGGAGTGATGGCCATGATGAAGGGTGGCAAGCCTGCCTCAAGGTTGAAAGTGATCTCCGTGTATCTCATGAGGTGAAAGTTGACAGTGTTCAGCTGGTCGTATAGCTGAACAAGCACCTGAGTAGGCAGCCCCGAGGAGTGAAGGCGCCCCGGGGAACTTGATGCAGCTCCTTCCATAAGTTCGAAGAAAGCCGCTGTGACGGGCAGCAGGCGAAACAGCAAAAGGCCCCAAAAGGGGACACGCGCCACCACGCAAACGGCGCACATTCCCTGGGCATCGTCGGGCGCAGATGGGTCCCACTACAAAATTTTGCACACACAGGTCCACACACACATTTCCAGTGTACTACCCAAAGGTTTACAAACCATTCGGCAGGCTGCAGTATAGCAGAGGAGACCCCTGCCCCCAGTGCGTCTGGGGGCTATGCGTCAGACAGTATACACGCAGAAGTGCAACAGTTCATATGGCTCTGAGACAACACAGGCACCATCAGCCAATCTCACGCACGACGCCTCAGGGCCCCTAATGTAGCTGTTCCTACCAAACGCTCTCTCTGGACAGAGTAGCATGAAACGCCGAAGACATAACTGTTGTTTTTCGCCACCGGCACGGTAAAGAAAATGTGCGATGAGAGCCGCTGGTCAGTAGAGATCTCGCCTTCCCAGTCACGTGACCCTGACCCTAGACGGGTTCCCTGTAGGTGGCCCCTAGTTGGGGCCCCTTCTGGGAGGGCAAACTTTTCCACCCATTGCAGAAGAGTCGTCTCGCTGGCCTCTCCCCCCCAAGAAAATGCCCCGGAGCCTCCGTCCTCTGGCTGTCCTCTCCACAAACAACGCTGCAAACGCAGCGGAAATTACTCAGAAGGATTCGGGTGCAGTCCAAAGCCACAGGCTAGCATACGGATACCGCTCCCTTGAGTATC